TTTTTAGTAGAGACGGGGTTTCACCATGTTAACCAGGATGGTCTCGATCTCTTGACCTCGTGATCCACCCGCCTCGGCCTCCCACAGTGCTGGGATTACAGGCTTGAGCCACCGTGCCCGGCCCGAATATTTTTTCTCTTATACCCATGAGGTTGTTATTTTAAAGATAGCATTTTCATTTTTTTTTTTTAACTTTTATGTATTTTAAGACATTTATTTATTTAGCGACAGGATCTCATTCTGTTGCCCCAGGCTAGAGTGCATTGGTACTCACTGCAGCCTCCAACTCCTGGCCCCAGTGATCCTCCCACTTTAGCCTCCCAGAGTGCTGGGATTACAGTGTGAGTCGCGGTGCCTGGCCTCAAAGATAGCATTTAAAGTTACGTTTAACAAAACAGATTAAATTCCTAAAACCACTGTTTTAAAGATTTCCTTTGTGTGACGTGAGCCAAGCCCCTACTTTTAAAAATATTTTCTAGGCTTTAGGAAGAGCCTAGAAAATATTTGGAAACATGATATAGTTAGCAAAAAATACAGATTAAAAAATGGGGGAGAGCTGCAATAAAGGGCTATGGTTATACTACCTGGTAAGTTGGGCCTGGTGTAAAAGAGGTGAGTGAGTAGGGTGTCGCTTATGACAGTAAGGGAAGCTGTTCCCTTTGCTAACCAATCGATTACTCTGACAGAATGGAGATGAGAAGGCAGAGCCACCTCCTCAGTCTTGGTCTTCATTCTGGAAGCATGACAAGGACGTGGAGGAAGACAGAGCTTCCTCATCCTCTGGAACGATTGTTCAGGTAATGCTGGGCATATCAACCACATTTGGGAGTTATGGGGAAGGTGGGGAGCAGGGATCTCTTTTTGTACCACTTTCTCTTTCCACACTCCTTACCCGCCCCTGGCCCCGAGATGGAGTCTTGCTCTGTTGCCCAGGCTGGAGTGCACTGTCACAGTCTTGGCTCACTGCAACCTTCGCCTCCTGGGCCTAAGCAGTTCTCCTGCTTCAGCCTCCCAAGTAGCTGGGATTACAGGCACGTGGCACCACGCCAGCTAATTTTTGTATTTTTAGTAGAGGTGGGATTTCACCATGTTGCCCAACTTTCTATGTTAACTTTGCTTCCTCTCTTCCCCGTTTCCTTTGTTAGGTTTTTAGTCAGCACTGCCTAAGCCTTTAAAATGCTCATCTGTAGCTCAGACAAGGAATAAAAATAAGGATGGTAAAGAACTATCTTGTTTGAAGGAATGCTTAGAGAGGGAACCTGCATGGGCTGATTTTTTTTTTTTTTTTTTTTTTTTTTTTTTTTTTTGAGACTCGAGACAGAGTTTTGCTCTTGTTGCCCAGCCTGGAGTGCAATGGTGCGATCTCGGCTCACTGCAACCTCCCCCTCCCTGGTTCAAGTGATTCTTCTGCCTCAGCCTGGCCATATAATTTAAATTTTCGTAAGAATATACTTTTAGGCCGGGCGCAGTGGCTCACGCCTGTAACCCCAGCACTTTGGGAGGCGGAGGCGGGCAGATCAAGGTCAAGAGATTGAGACCATCCTGGCCAACATGGTGAAATCCTGTCTCTACTAAAAATACAAAAATTAGCTGTGTGTGGTGGTGTGCGCCTGTAGTCCCAGCTACTTGGGAGGCTGAGGCAGGAGAATTGCTTGAACCCAGGAGGCGGAGGTTGCGGTGAACCGAGATTGCGCCACTGCACTCCAGCCTGGCGCCTGGCAACGGAGCAAGACTCTTGCTCCGTTTCAAAAAAAAAAGAATATACTTTAAAAAAATTATTCAATGAGACAAAGCATACTTCTGAAAGAATCTACTTAAGTACCTACTTCTCTAGATTCTTTATGTGTTCATTAAGAAGAAAAGTTTGAAGAAGGTCTTTCAAATAAATACAATCCTGAGGAAGCTGATTTTTTTCTTAATGAACAAACTTTTTTCTAATTGTACCTGACTTCTCCATACCTGACTTTTTTGTAAGCAAGTAATTTGTAAAATGAGCAGACACAGAAAGAAGAACTCATGTGGCACCACGGCAAGACCTTTCCTGGAGCCCTGATTCTTTTCTTTACAGGAAGCATGTGGGAAAATAAGCACCTGTGATAATTCCATGGCACAAATCCTTGCACCAGACTCACCAAACACCGAGCAAGGCTCAGAATGTTCCCTAAGGACCAACCAAACAGAAGAGGTAAGTCCCTGGTGGTAGTAAGCAAACTGCTCAGATAGCTGGACTAGCACCTAGAAGTAACCAGTGTTCTGTGTCCTGCAATACCATGTACGTCAAGCCAAGTGTTTCTTGTGAACTTTAACCTATGAAGATAATGTGCTGTCAGGCTGTGGAACTGGAAGACTTGTCATCAGATATTTACAGAGAAAACAAGCATGGCATACAGAATTAGACGCTGTTCACTCATTTACCGTTTGTCAACATGAAATAGTCTTTCCATTGATGACTACTTTAATCTGTAGACAGAACTGACGGGGGCAAAGAAAGTGGAGAAGGGTTAATATTAATGGCCTGTTACGTAAGAGGCATTCATAGTTACCTGTTTAACCCTCAGACTGTATAAGGTAGGTTCATACCTACTATATGTTTACAAATGAAGAAATCAAAATTCAGGGAGCAAAAATATAGCTAGTGGGCCGGGCATGGTGGCTCATGCCTGTAATCCCAGCACTTTAGGAGGCCAAGGCGGGCAGATCACCTGAGGTCAGGAGTTCAAGACCAGCCTGGCCAACATGATGAAACCCTGTCTCTACGAAAGATACAAAAATTAGCCAGGCATGGTGGCACATGCTGGTAATCCCAACTAATCCAGAGGCTGAGGCATGAGAATCGCTTGAACCTGAGAGGTGGAGGTTGCAGTGAGCCAAGATTATACCACTGTACTCTAGCTGCCTGGGCAATTGGGCAAGACTTTGTCTTTAAAAGAAAAAAAAAAAAAAAAAAGTCCAGGTTTGGTGGCTCACACCTGTAATCCCAGCACTTTGGGAGGCTGAGGCGGGTAGATCAGGAGGTCAGGAGATTGAAACCATCTGGCCAACATGGTGAAACCCCATCCCTACTAAAAATGTAAAAATTGGCTGGTCGGGGTGGTGCACGCCTGTAATTCCAGCTACTTGGGAAGCTGAGGCAGGAAATCACTTGAAGCAGGTAGTCGGAGGTTGAGGTTACAGTGAGTCGAGATCGCACCACTGCACTCCAGCCTCATGACAGAGTGAGACTTTGTCTCAAAAAAAAAAAAAAGTATATATATATGGTTAGTGAATGGGGGAATAAAGAATCAAACCCTGATTATTCTAACCTGCCTTTCTAATTTGGAATCTTGTACCTCAGTGGTTCTCAAGACCCCATCTCAAAAAAAAAAGTGTGTGTGGCATATAATAGGTGCTCAAATAAAAATTTTTAATAAACAACGAAGGTGGGTGGTAAATCTGTGATTACAGGTAATTAATATTAATAGATTGTTTTCTCAAGTGGCCAAAAAAGGAAAGGGGATCCCAAAGTCTTTATCTGTAGCAATATCTGAAAACTAGAAGGGAATTAATCAGATGACTAGAAATAGAAGTCTGGAAGTAAAATCACACAGCTGTTGCTTTAAAAAAAAAAAAACAAAAACCATAGCCTGGCACTATGGCTTATGCCTGTAATCCCAGCACTTTGGGAGGTTGAGGCAAGTGGATCACTTGAGTCCAGGAGTTTGAGACCCAGCCTGGCCAACATGGCCAAACCCTGCCTCTACTAAAAATATAAAATTAGCCGGGTATGGTGGCATGTGCTCCTAATCCTAGTTCCTTGGGAGGCTGAGACAGGAGAATCACTTGAACCTGGGAGATGGAGGTTGCAGTGAGACGAGATCATGCCACTGCACTCCAGCCTAGGTGACAGAGCGAGACTCTGTCTCAAGAAAAAAAAAGAATTAAAAAAGAAAATTAAGGCCAGGCGTGGTGGCTCACGCCTGTAATCCAAGCACTTTGGAGGCCAAGGCTGGCAGATCGCCTGAGGTCAGGAGTTCGAGACCAGCCTGACCAACATAGTGAAACTCCGTCTTTATTTAAAAAAAAAAAAAAAAAATTAAAAAGAAAATTAAAACAGGTGAATCCAAGCATAGACCTGATTACATGTGAAGTTCAGAAAAAGCACAACAGAAAGGAAAGTTTTTTTGAGAAGGTGATTCTTGAAGAAAATTGTAATAATAGATTAATGAAGGCAGGAAAGAAATGGCATTTTGGCAGAAAATAGCAAATGTATGTGAAGATAATAGGTGGTGAAAGGTAAAAAATACAACCCAGAGGCACTTGTGCCAGACCAGCTTTCGTAATCCTCATCAGTGCACATGATAAGGAACAGCATTCTCACGCCCGGCACGTGTTTGTTACCAGCTACCGATTTTGTTCACTCTTTGACACTGAAAGTTCTATGTCTAAACAAAATTCCATAAACATTGGGAAATATGCATTTGCCTTGAGTTAGGGTATACATTTGCGAGCACTTCGTATTCAAAGTTTGTCACTTGGCCAGAATTACATCGTATTAGATGCTAATATGTTATCAAAATCATACAGAAAACATTGTATTTTATCATAATTAATAAAATATTTATTGAGACCAAAAAGTTTATAGAGCAAAACACAAATCCTTATTCCTAAAGGAATTTTTCTAGAAGTGTCAATGTTATTCTTTCTATATTCTAGGGAAAGATAGATAATACAGTGGGAGGTAAATACTTCTTTGTATCAAATTATCTTTTGCTGCCTGGTTGAATATATCTATTATATAATTACTTTTATTTGGAATACTTTATTTGGAATACTTTTATTTGGTACCTGGAAGAAAATTTTCTATTGAATTGATAAACAACCCAGTTATTTGAATATAAAAAGAACACAGCACACTTTCTTTATAATATAAAAAGAGCATCTAGTCCTTAACTCAATCATATTTGAGTATGCAGAAGGGAAAAGTCATTTTAGAGATTCTCTCTGAGGAATAGGAAAAATGTTTCCAGATTACCCCACTGAAGCTCATTAGTTGACTCAAGCTGTTTTTATTAGGGAAAAGTTTGGATGAGTAATATCATCCAAACTTTTATGTTTTTAAAAAGTTAAAATTTTTATAATCTAGCTATTTGAGAAGATGTTAAGTTAAAATTATGTGGTATATGTTATTGTATCCCTGCTGGTATGTAAAGATCGTGTTCTGTTTTGTTTTTCTGTTTGAATAGAGTGTGCAGCAATGTAAGCATTGCTTAATCATGTGTCACGTAACTCTAAACACTGGCCAATTCCCTCAGATGTTTCAGACACACACACACCCTGTCACTCATATTCTCACCTGTCTCCTGGGGCTCACCGGCTAGTGAACTGCAGGCCTGTTTGCTTCCTCTGTGCCCGGGAATACTGTACCTGTGTACTCACAGATCGGCTGCTTGGAAACCTGTGGCACCAGGTCACGTGATTGTTGCTATGAGTGTGGAGGTGCCTTTCTCTTTTCTTTCTTCCTTCTTCTGCCCTGAGTTTGTTTCTTTTAACTGGGGAAATGTTGCGGGCTCCCAGGTCTTTGTAGGCCCAAGTCTGAAAACTTTGGACTCCCTGCCTTTTCACTGCTGGATTATCTTTGGATTTCTTTTAGGGCACCACACCTCCTATCAAGGTTGCCAGTCTGGACTCTTCTGACACGCAAGGAGGTTTAGAGCCCAGGGTGGAGAAAACTAGGCCGGAGCCTGCGGAAGTCCTGCATGCCTGCAAGACCCAGGTGGCCGAGCTGGAGCTGTGGCTACAACAAGCCAACGTGGCATTTGAGCCGGAAACATTAAACACAGACATGCAGCAGGTGGTGGAACAGCAGCTGGTTGGGTGCCAGGTAAGACTGAGAAGTCAGAGTTCATGGTTTGCCTCTCCACCAATCATCTGCCAGGATTGGGTGAATTTCTCTTAAAGCAACACTGTTTTTCTTTCTGTTACTCTGACCCTTACATTTATCTTGGCTTCAACTTTTAGTTCTCAGGGTAATTATTTATGGAATGCTTTATGGAAACATCTTATTTGAGGGGACAGTAGTGGGTTAGAGTTAAGAATCTAGAGTCTAAATCCAGCTGTCACTTTAACTGTGAGCTTGGGGAAGTGAACTGCTCAGCCTCGTTTTCCACATATAGCAGGTTATCTCATAGGGTTTCTGTCAGGATTAAATAAGGTATTTAAAGTAGTGTCATAGGATTTAAATAAGGCATTTAAAGCAGTGGCATAAGATATAAAGTTATCTCATAGGATTTTTTTCAGGATTAAAAAAGGTGTATAAAGTAACAAGTGCTTAGTAAATGCTACTATTTTATTCACTAAAATTTGTCATTGGAATATTCATTCATTAGTTGTTATTAGTGACAAAAATATTATTCATCAGAAATGAAACCAAATGTCTTGATTTGCAAAATTGAAGATACAGCATAAAAGGGCTTTGCAGCCATTTTACTAGGAACGCCGTTGGTTTTGCTTGGGAGGGGCAGGGATAGATCAGCTTCCTTGCCGCTAGTCACTCTGAGTAAAGCCGGCTCAGCCCAAAGGTTGGGGTTTCTAATCCCTCCAAGGAGGGGCTAGAATGATGACATTGCAACAGTATAATCGAGTGTCACAAGAGCAGAAGCATGCGAGCTGCTTGCAAAGGCCTCTCTCCCAGCTGCACTTAGGAGACCAGCCTCGTCTCTACCTTATGGGCCTGTTTGTCTGCCAAGAATGAAGACATCCTCTTGTCTCAGCCCTGCTCCAGGGAGTATTTCCCGCTGTGGCCTGTTATGTTGTTGTGGGTAGCCTGCCTTTGATCCCCAGGTGTACATTCTCCCCTTCTGTTTAAGCCCACAGTCTTACAACATCCAGGAACCAGACAGAGAGGCCAGCCTCCTTCTCTGTGCAGCTCGGCACCTCTGATCTCAGAAGTCAGTTTTTTTTTTTCAGGGTCTCATTCTGTCGCCCAAGTTGGAGTGCAGTGGCTCAGTCATAGTTCATTGCACCCTCCACCTCCTGGGCTCAGGTGATCCTCCCACCTCAGGTTCCTGGGTAGCTGGGACTACAGGTCTACACCACCATACCCAGCTACTTTTTGTGGCTTTTTTTGGTAGAGATGAGAGGTCTTACTGTATTGTCCAGGCTGGTCTTGAGCTCCTGGACTCAAGCAATCCACCCACCTTGGCCTCCCAGAGCACTGGATTACTGGCATGAGCTACCATGCCCAGCCCAAAAGTCAGTTCTAAAGGGATAGGTTCACTCAGATACTGGCTCTGCCGCTTGGCCTGGCTGATGAGCGCAGGTGAGCCTGTGAACAGCATAGAGCATCAAATAGCACAGAGCAATGCTATGCTAAACTGAACTCGATGCAGTCCGGATTGTGAGTCCCACCCACTTAAGGCCATTCAGGATTGATTTGCCAACTGATTATCTACTGACTGGATAGACCCTATGCCAACTCCTTGATCATCACCAGAATCCCATATTAATTGCTACTTGTAGTGAGCTCAAGGATTTCCAGGCTGCTCAAGGAAAAGACATGACTACCAGGTGGCAGTAGCACCCAACGAGCTTTATTTAGGCAGCATTTTGACAGGATTATGATTGTGAGGGACAGGTCTTTACTGCAGGAGACCTTCCAGATGCTAAGGCATAGACTAGGGGTCAGGCCACCACGCAGAAGGGAAGGAGAACCAGGGAGCTCCCAGGGGAGAGGAGAAATAGAGGACTTATGTGTCTAGCGGTGTCTCAGCACAGTGGAGGATCTCTGGGTCAGAGAGCTCCAAAGGGCAGCAGAAGCTTGGGATATTTTTATAGCCCAGGGTTAGTCTTATCCATGGCTGGCAGATGTTGGGTGCAGTTTTCAGGGGTACGCAAAGCAGACAGGCTCTAAATGGATTAAAATATGCTTATTCGGGCTGCGTTTAAAGCCATCAAATGTGTAAACATTTGAGTCTGGTGCTGACACTCTTTGAACTTACTGCTTCTGACCTGGTCCGAAGAAATGAACCACATAGAGGCTAACATGCAAGGGCATCTTTGGATCATTTATATAACATGACACATTGAAGTTATTATTGAAACATATAAAACCTTAAAGTGATCTGTAAAAAACACTAAATTCCAGCGGAAAGGCGGCCAAAGGACAGGAGCAAACATTTCAGTCAGAAAAGATTATGGACCAGCTGTGGTGGCTATACCTGTAATTCCAGCACTTTGGGAGGCCAAGGTGGGTGGATTGCTTGAGGCCAGGAGTTTGATACCAGCCTGGGCAACATAGTAAGAGGTTGTCTCTACAAAATTATTAAAATAAAGAAATAAACTAACTGGGCATGGTGGTGTATGCCTGTAGTCCCAGCTACCTGGGAGGCTGAGACATAGTTTCTCTTAAGCCCAAGAATTCAAGACTGCAGTGAGCTATGATTGCACCACTGCATTCCAGTCTGGGCTAGAGAGTGAGACTGTCAAAAAAAGAGAGAATGGTAAGAAGGGAGGGAGGAAGGATTATGCTTAGGAGTTTAATATTTGAGAATTGTTTAATCTTGATTATTCAAGATGTGAATTAAAACAGCTGTTGTTTTGTTTCTACATTACAGTAGCAAAAGTTACATCATTCTGGAAAAATGGATCCTCTGATGTCTGGTAGTTCTATCTAATTGGCTCAGTGTTTTGGGAGGTCAACATATAAGCTGTTCATTGTCTTTGAGCTGAAAGTACCATTACTTGTTTTCTTTTGAGATAGAGTCTCGCTCTGTCACCCAGGTTGGAGTGCAGTGGCACAGTCTCGGCTCACTGCAACCTCCGCCTCCTGGGTTCAAGTGATTCTCCCACCTCAGTCCCCCAAGTAGCTGGGATTACAGGCATACATCACTGTACCCGGTTAATTTTTGTATTTACACCAGGGTTTCACCATGTTGGCCAGGGTGATCTCAAACTCTTGACCTCAAGTGATCTACCTGCCTTGGCCTCCCAAAGTGCAGAGATTACAGGCGTGAGCCTACCATGTCCAGCCAGTACCACTGCTTTTAATTTACCTTCTGAAAATAATCCAAAATGAGAAAAGTAATTATAGAAGCATTGATCACAAAAGTGAAGAACTAGAAACAAAGGGGTCACAATGGGGAAGTTGTTAAGTGAATTATGGAATATCAACTTGTCGCTGTTAAAATGAAAATCATGAAACGTGTGGAGACACGAAAAAGTATGTAATAGTTAAGTGGGAAAAATAAAACATAAAATTATGCTACATTTTATTTATAACCACTCTACAGTCTATGGGTACATATTGTTTAAACTTCAAAGAACCTATAGAGGACGTAAGTAGAGTAGTCCCACCTTTATCTGTGGGGGTGTGTTACAGGACTCCCAATGGATGCCTGAAGCCACGGACAGTACCGAACTCTGTGTATATTATGTTTTGTTGTTTTTTTTTTTAATCTGATAACCGAGATGGCTACAGATCAAGTATACCTTATCCCAGAATGCTTGGAACTAGAAGTATTTTGCATTTGGGTTTTTTTCGGGTGGGGGGGATTTGGAATATTTGCATATACATAATGAGGTATATCTTAGAGATGGGACCCACGTCTAAACACGAAATTAATTAATTAATTAATTTTAGGGTTAACAGGGTCTTGCTCTGTTACTCAGGCTGGAGTGCAGTGGCATGATCATGGCTCACTACAGCCTCCAACTGCTGGGCTCAAGCAATCCTCCTGCCTCAGTCTCCAGAGTAGCTGGGATTACAGGTGTACACCAGCATGCCTGGCTAATTTTATTTTTTGTTGAGTTGGGGTCTTACTGTGTTGCCTAGGCTGATCTCAAACTCCTGGCCTCAAGTGATCCTCCTGCCTCAGCCTCCCAAGGTGCTGGGATTACAGGTATGAGCCACCATGCTGGGCCTCATTTATGTTTTATCTATACCTCATACACATACCCTGAAGGTTATTTTATATAATAACTTTAATAATTTTATGCATGAAACAAAGTTCAATTGTGACTCATCACATGAGGTTGGGTGTAGAATTTTCCTCTTCTGGCATGGGACATAAAAAGTTTCAGATTTTGGAGCGTTTTTGGATTTTGGATTTTCAGATTATGGACACTCAACCTGTACCCAGTAACAAAGGGTCCGAGTGCTAGAGTGTGGATATGCTGGACCAAGGGATCATTCACATCCTGGGCGGGATGCAGCAGGATGGTGTGCAAGGATGCTGTGCAATTTTATCATGCTACTAAGATGGTGCAAAATTTAAAATGTACTAATTATTTCTGGAATTTTCCATTTAATATTTTTGAGCCATGGTTGATTGCAAACAACTGAAACCACAAAAAGTAAAAGCATGCATAACTGGGCCTATTGTAGCTTGTTTAGATGAAGAAGTTATAGGATAAATTATTTGAAATTTTGTTTTAAAAATAGAGTTTTTCCTTAAGGAAAATTTATAATTCCTTAAATCCTCTCAATGAATGGAACTTGTTCTTAGTCCTGCACCGAGTTTTAGTACAAATGATCATGGTGCTGGAATGTGAGTTTGTGTGTTACTGCTGTCTTGAGTGCTCAGCCAGTTGGCGTGACCGAGCGGGCCGCTGAGCCCCAGGAGAGGGCAAACTTGATCTGTTGAGGAGGAATACAATGACCGAAACTTCCTGGGAAACTTACTTCATCCAGCTGATGTATTTTTAGATCTGTGTGAATTGGCTGGTTGTATCAATAAGTATTTCAGGTTCCAAATTATGTCTTCTGTGGCGTTCTTGTGAGAGTTTAGAGGCTTATTTGGCTTGAGAAAGAGAAGGAAAAGAACAAGGGAAATAATTTTCAAAGAGTTACATGGAATTCTTTTTAAAATTTCTAATCCACACTTGGATTGCAACATTAAATATTAGGAAGGTGGTAGACAATGTATTAAGCACTGGCCAAAGTTCATGGATTTAATTCATTCTCTCCTCACAATGACCCTAGGAGGTAAGTTCAGTTATTATCTTCATTTTACAGACTACTAGAGGCACATTCCTCTAAAATAAGGTGCCTATGTTTACACATCTACTAAGTGTCAGGACTGGGATCTGAAACCAGGTATTCTGGTTCCAAGATCTATCTGTATTCTTATCCACTATCCTCTGCTGGATACATTCCGCTGTGTTTTGTAAGCTGACTACAGAGTCACTTACTTAAATGATTTTACAGGGTGACACCTGTAATTGGGGTTGGTTTGGTTGCACCCCTGCTGAAAAGCACAAGAATTCTGTGGAAGTTTCTGTTTTTCCAAGGTTTCTTCCATCCTGTGTTTCTGGGGCTTCTTGTATATACTTAGGTAAAAAGAATAAGTCTGAACTTGTTTGGGGGAACAGCACTTATTCAAGACCAACACTCTGAGTAATTCAATGCTTTTATTTCCTAGGCTATGCTAACAGAGATTGAGCACAAGGTTGCCTTTCTGTTAGAGGCTTGCAAAGATCAGGGCCTGGGAGATAATGGAGCCACTCAATATGAGGCTGAAGCACTTGCCCTGAAACTGAAAACAGTGAAGTGCAATTTAGAAAAAGTCCAGATGATGCTTCAAGAGAAGCACAGTGAAGATCAGGTAACAAATGAGTATTTACGGACATTCATCTTGATATACATATGCAGCAGACCCGCCAGAAGAGAACTCTGGTTGGAAGTGTTGAACCAGCTACAGAGAAACTCTACTAAGTGTGAAAGAATTACACACATTAACACTGTAGATGAGTATACTGGCTTGTTACTTTTATTTCATTTTACTTTGCAGTTTTCCTGTCTGGGTGGTTGTTGGTGATGGTGGTGGTTTAGTTTGTGTTGGTTTAATGTGGCTGAGTGTTCTGGCTGGCAGAGGGCTCTAGCATTAGGCTTCTTTATAAAAGAAGACTGTATTGTAAAGGAATTTTGTGACCAGAAAACAAAGCTTTTGTAGCTATGACTAAAATTTGACATCAGAAACATAAACCTGTTTCCAGGATACTTTATTTTTCAGTTGCAAATATTTATATATACTAATCAAAGTATCATATAAAGTGTTCTTATGATTTTAAAAAGCACTTTGTGTTTATGAATGCAAATGTGCATCTTATGAGTAGATCTTACTATATAAGATTTGCATCTGTACTTACGAGTGGTTCCTACTTAGACACTTTTGTTCACAGAAATAAGACTGGCTGCATATACATAGGGCATATGGTTCCTCTTTCATCCTAATATGTTCTCTCTTTTTAAAAAAAATATATTTAGCCATAGGGGAAACTTGAATTCATAAGTATAATACTGTTTCTCTTTTTGGTACTTTTTTATTTGGTATTTGTTCTTAAGAAAAAAGGCAATACATTTTCTTGCTTTTAGTAATTCATTGGATGAATTAAGTTGAAGAAATAAGATGATCACTTCACCAAATGTAGTGGTTTTTGAAGTTGTTATGAAATAAGTACATTAAATAATAGTAGACTGGACGCAGTGGCTCACGCCTATAATCCCAGCACTTTGGGAGGCCAATGCGGGCAGGTCATCAGAGGTCAGGAGTTTGAGACTAGTCTGGCCAATATGGTAAAACCCTGTCTCTACTAAAAATACAAAAATTAGCTGGGTGTGGTGGGTGCACCTGTAATCCCCAGCTACTCTGGAGACCGAGGCAGGAGAATTGCTTGAATCCAGGAGGCAAAGGTTGCAGTGAGCCAAGATTGCGCCATTGCACTCTAGCCTGGGGGACAAGCATCAAACTCCGTCTCAAAAACCAAAAAAACAAACAAAAAACAATAGTATATAATTATTGCAAATAACAAAATGCCGTATTTATTTCATATAAAATCTATGTAGTCCCATTATTAGAATTGAGATAAAGTGGAGTTTATTTTTAAAATAAATAGCCTGCCATTATGAAATGTTTTGCAGCAGCCTACCATTCTAAAGAAACGCTCAGAGCTAGAGCATCAAAAAGTTCGTCAACCAGTTAACCTTTCTGAATTGGAATCCACAGTAACTGAAAGGCCACAATTCAGCAGACAAAAAGATTTCCAGCAGCAACAGGTAATTCTAGCCCCCAACAGTTGGAGAGACAAGAATAAAACTTTTTAACCAGGCATGGTGGTGCAAATCCACAGTCCTAGCTACTTGGGAGGCTGGGGTGGGAGGATCACTTGTGCCCAGGTGTTCAAGACCAGCCTGGGCAACATAGTGAGACCCTGTTTCAAAAACAAAAAAGGCCAGGCACAGTGGCTCATGTCTGGAATCCCAGCACTCTGGGAGGACAACATGAACGGATCATTCAAGGTTAGGAGTTTGAGACCAGCCTGATTAACATGGTGAAACCTTGTCTCTACTAAAAATACAAAAAAATGAGCTGGCCGTGGTGACTTGTCTCTGTAATCCCAGCCACTCGGGAGGCTAAGGCACAAGAATCGCTTGAATCCAGGAGGTGGAAGTTGCAGTGAGCTGAGATCACACCACTACACTCCAGCCTGGGGTGAGAGAGTGAGACCCTGTCTCCAGGAAAATAAATAAATAAATAAATAAGTAAATAAATCTTTCTATATGGAATTTCTGCAAAGTGTGGTATGTGGGTGTTTGTGTGTGTGGTGCAACTCTGAGAGTTTTCAGCATTTACCATAGCACCTGCTTTGCTTTCAGCTGCTAACATTGGGGACACCGTAACTTTGCTCCTTTATTTTTTATTTTATTTTATTTTTTTTTTGAGATGGAGTTTCGCTCTTGTTACCCAGGCTGGAGTGCAATGGTGCGGTCTTGGCTCATTGCAACCTCTGCCTCCTGGGTTCAGGCAATTCTCCTGCCTCAGCCTCCTGAGTAGCTGGGATTACGGGCACATGCCACCATGGCCAGCTAATTTTTTGTATTTTTACTAGAGACAGGGTTTCACCGTGTTGACCAGGATGGTCTCGATCTCTTGACCTCGTGATCCACCTGCCTTTTGCTCCTTTATTAACTTGCATCTTATATCACCTGTCTTCAGAGTGAACTTCTATAATTGCAACTCTGCTTTGCCTGTCTTTTCAAAACATGTTTGTATATCTTTGATGATTTTCTATGTATGCAGTTTAACAGTTATTGTGTGACTATTTTAAATAGGTTTTTGGGAAGTAAGAGTTTACAAGAACAGGGATGCAAGAAAGAGAAATAATCATTAATGATTTAGGAACTGGCTCAAAATTAGATTTCTCTCAACAGAAGAAACTATTGGGTACTAATTGAAAACTTAATGGTTGGGACCATTTGTATCTCATTCAGTTACACGTTCTGGAGTTAAAACCAATGGAACAGAAAGATTTCATCAAATTCATAGAATTTAATGCTAAGAAAATGTGGCCCCAGTATTGCCAACATGATAAAGCTACAACTCAGGAATCATCTGCAAGGTAAAACATTTCAAAATATAGTTAGACATTCAGTGGTTTTATGATTGGGAGAATTAAGAGTGTTTCTTTTAAAAATTGCTCATAAAACTTTGTAATACAAAATTTTTAGGGTTGACTATTCTCTTCACCTTTTGTTCTTCAAAAGCAACCAGGCATCCAGCCCTGAAAATGACGTTCCAGACTTGATCTTGTCACCCCAGGGCCAAAATGGAGATAAATGGCAATATCTGCATCATGAACTCTCATCAAAAATAAAGCTCCCACTCCCTCAGCTTGTGGAGCCCCAGGTCAGTCTGCTTCTACATGGTGTAAATAGCCTGTGTATCTTTGAAAATCCAACAAGCATTCATTAAATAATCATGGATATTCTGCAGAAAGCAAAGTCGCCAAGTGAGTTTTTCATTTTCTTGATCTTGGAAATCTGCATTAGGGACCCCTCTTTTGTGCTTCTCTAGCACTCTGGGCTTTCCTCATCAGAGCTCTTACTACAGTATTCACCTCTTTATTTATAGTCTGTATTCCCCATTAGATGGGGAAGAAAGACAGATCATGTCTGCCTGGTTCACATTTGAGTGCCAAGCACAGTACCTAGGACATCATAGACTCTCAGTTACTTTTTGTTGAATGAATAAAGGAATGAATATATGTTTTAAGAAACGCTTTAAAAACTATGCAGTGCTATATGAGTGTCATTCATTGATCAGAAAATTTTTTGGAATCTACCATGTGCCAACCCCTGTGCCAATGGCACAGGCCTTCCGACGGGCCCTCCTTATCACTGCTGTCACAGGCTCTGTCAGGCTGGCTTGCTGTGTTAGCCACAGCTGCCTCTCTCCAGACAGGGAGCAGGTGAGCAAAACCCTGCCGCATACAAGGCAGGCTTCTGCCTTTTACCATGCACTCACATTGCCTGAGCAAAGGTTGCCCATGATTTCCTAATTCCCCAGTCTAATAAAAACTTCTCAGCTGTCCTCTTTTCTGCCAAGGCCCTTACTTGACCATTTAAAGTTAAATCAAACTCACCAGTTGGCCGCTAGCCTTGGTTTCTCTTTATTATACTGTAACATGTACATAGATCTCTTGCAAAGATGAGAACTCCACTCACTATTACTTCTTTCCCCAAGCAGAGTCATCTACCCCGTCACCCTGTTTCCTTTTATTTCTTAGCTTTCCAATTGGAGAAAGAAGCTAACTCTGAATCATTCACCCTTCTGAAATCACAGCTTGTTTCCATTCCTAATTTAGCTTTTCAATAACAAATCAAGATGCAAATCCATCCCTTAGAGGAGACTTGAATTCTAACAGTTGGCTGTGTCAAAAGTAAACTGGAAATAAACAGCTAACCCTGTAGCATGAATGTTGTTATTACTGAAAGATTAATGATTTCACACACACACTGCTTTTTTTTTTTTTTTTTTTTTTTTTTTTTTTTTTAAAGGGAGGGTCTCTGTCTCTTAACCAGGGTGGAGTGCATGGCATGACCAAAACTCACTGTAACTTTGAACTGGGGTTAGGCAGTCCCCCTGCCTCAGCCTTCAAGTAGCTAGGACTTCAGGTGTGTAGCACAATGACCAGCTACTTAATTTTTTTTGGTAGAGAAATTGTCTTATTATGTTGTGCAGGCTGATCTTAAACTACTGGCCTCAAGGGATCCTCCCACCTCTACTTCCCAAAGTACTGAGATTATAGGCATAAGCCACTGAGACTGGCCCTTCCCCTCATTTTGATATCTAAATGGACCCTCAAGCATCTAAATGTAACCAGTCATGACTTTTCAAAGCTGTCCAAAATATTAAAATGTAATTTAATTATTTTTTTAATAAATGACAAGGTAGATAAATATGCTCACCAAGAAAGTAACTCAGAAGACAGCATGCTAAGACACCTTTTTCTATTTAAATTAACATCAACAGGCTGGATGCGTTGGCTCTTGCCTGTAATCCCAGCACTTTGGGATGCCAAGGCGGGTGGATTACCTGAGGTCACGAGTTCCAGAACAGTTTGGCTAACATGGCAAAACCCCGTTGCTACTAAAAATACAAAAATTAGCCTGGCATGGTGGCAGGCGCCTGTAATCCCAGCTACTCGGGAGGCTGAGGCAGGAGAATTGCTTGACCCTGGCAAAGGTTGCAGTGAGTTAAAATCACACCACTGCACTCCAGCCTGGGTGACAGAGCAAGACTCCATCTTGAAAATAAATAAACATCAACAAGGTCTAAAACTGTCACTAACAGAGTTCCCTTTTGTCAAATAGGTTTCCACAAATATGAGTATCCTACCCAGTGTGAGTATGTATAACTTTAGATACCCAACAACTGAAGAACTGAAAACCTATACAACCCAACTTGAAGACCTGCGCCAAGAAGCAAGTAGCCTTCAGACACAGGTAGAACCTGCACACAATGTATTTTCCTCATTGCAATAACATAAAGAAAAAGGAGGCATGAGCCACCAAGCCCAGCCCCATTGCTATTTTTCAGACACTATCCCTTGTCTTTGTAATCAACCCCTTCAAGCTTCTCTTTTGTGACTTTTTTCCTTCTCCCTGCTCTACTTGATTTCATTAACTGCTTCCTCCTGCGTTCGAATGTGGAGGGTGGGTAACAGTGGTAAAGAAGGCAGTGTAATTTATCTGGGATCACACTTTCACCTGAATGGCCCTGCAAAGGGATCCTTTATCTCGTGATTTACCTTTTAGTTCTGTTCAGTACACAAATAACTACCTAACGATGAGCTTCTTAAACTTGTTTTTCTCCAAGTTTAACGTCATTTAAGCTTATTTATTTGTTCTGTTACCTAGTTCACAAAGTGTTTGAAGCAACTTATTACAAAAGAAGCATAACAGAAATCATAAACTATAATGGAAACCAGGCAAAATATAGGTCTGGGAAGGCAAGGAATCCTAATTTTTTTCTTTTTTCCTCTTGACTCAGGAAAATATGACAGAAGAAACGTATGTCAATTTAGATAAAAAATTGTTTGAACTATTCCTGACCCTCAGTCAGTGCCTCAGCAGTGTGGAGGAGATGCTGCAGATGGCCGGGCTTTACCGGGAGGATGGTTCTGCCCAGCAGGTGCACTATGAGGTAGGGCACTTCTCATAAGCCCATGTGTCAGCCATTACAGCAGCCCCGTGAGTTAAGCCCGGGTGGAAGCCTCTTGAGGCCAGAGTTCATTCGTTGTCTTCCTTCCTCTCCACTTCAGACGTTGGCTCTTGAGTTGAAGAAACTTTATTTAGCGCTGAGTGACAAGAAGGATGATCTTTTGAAAGCCATGACTTGGCCTGGCAGGAACACCAACTTGCTCCTTGAATGTTTTGACAACCTTCAAGTCTGCCTGGAGCACACTCAGGCTGCTGCTGCCTCTAGAAGCAAGTCCCTGAAAGCTGGCCTCGACTACAACCGCAGTTTCCAGGTATGATTCCGAGCACACAGACGATTTTGGCACTGTTTTAAGTTATGGCATGTACCCCTAATTCCTATTAATTCCTGTTCTTGGTGACATTTGTTAATAAGAATTGCTAAGGGAAATTGTGAGACTCTTCTGTTTGTTGCTCATGGTTGGAGATCCTTTGAAAGAGAACCCTTTTCAAAGTCTTGGCTGGGCACAATAGCTCATGCCTGTAATCCCAGCACTTTGGGAGGCCTTGGTGGATGGATTGCTTGAGCCCAGGAGTTCGAGATCAGCCTGGGTAACATAGATCCCATCTCAAAAAAAGAAAAAAATGGAAAAAGTAAGAAAAAAAGTCTTGTGTATGAATTTTTTAGGGTGAGCTAATATAACGTTTCATTTCCTGCATTACATTTAGCCATTTAACAATTAAAATAGGGAGGATTTGTATTTGTTTTTCTAGGCTAGAGGGAGCCATTAAAATTTTTGAGCGAAGGAGTGACAATCCGTGTATGTTTCAGGTAGATTCCTCAGCAGTTGTCTAAAGTGAATTGGAGAGAGAGAGACCTGAGGCAGGTAGATGAGTGAGGAAGCTACTAAAATTATCTAATGAAACCCAATACTATTTATGAATGAGTCTTGCCCATAAAAAGTAAGCCTGAACCTGACCAAGCTTCTAGAATCCAAATAAAACAGACACGAGAAAAGAACAGGTTAAATAGCACAATGGGATTGCAATCTGCCAAATCCAGCCTGTGGGAAACTGGACTAAACAAATGACACACACACACACACACACACACACACACACACACACACTCTCTCTCTCTCTCTCTCTCTCTCTCTCTCTCTCTCTCTCACTCTCAAGAAACAAAAAAGAAAGGTGATTGGGGATTCCGCAAATTAAGAGAGATCTAAGTTGTATTTATTCGCATGCACATGTGGACCTCATTTGGATCCTCATGGAAACAAATCAAAAAAGTTGTAGGCAATTAGGGAAATGTGAATCCTGCCTGGGTAGTTAATCATACTAAGGAATTATTATTGATGACGGGGGAGGAGTATATTGAAGTATTTTTAAAGAGAAGGATCTTTATCTTTTAGAAATATATACTGAAACATATACTGAAGTATTTTTAAAGAGAAGGATCTTTATCTTTTAGAAATATATACTGAAACGTATACTGATGAAATGACTTGAGACCTGGGATTTACTTCAAAATAGCCTGAAGGAAAGGAGATTAGGTACAGTTGAGAGCTGCAGGGAGGATGTAGAGGGAGAAGGCCAGCCATGAATCAATAATTGTTGAAGTTTAATGATGATAAAATGGGGAATTCTATATTTTTTGTATTTGTTTGAAATTTCTAATGTCACAAAATTATAAAAACCAATTAAATATAAAAAAGGTAATGAAGGCCTAAATGAGATTGCTCAGTTTCCTGCATTTATCTTACAGAATGAAATAAAGAGATTATATGATCAGCTCATTAAGAGTAAGACATCTTTACAACAGTCTTTGAATGAAATCAGTGGCCAGAGTGTGGCTGAACAGCTTCAGGTAACCAAGTCAAAATAATCCAGACTGACTTAACTTTGAACCAAAGAGCTTTCTGTGTAAGCCTTGCTTCTGAACCACTTTCCTTTGTGAGCAGCAGCAAGGCTTAATAAATAAAAAATGAAAGCTATTTATGTTGTTGGCCTTTTAAGGACACCTCTTAAGTAGCATTTTCTGAAGCACAATGTATTAAAACAACCGGAGACCATTTTCACTTGCCAACCATGAAAAAATATGTGTGCAGTTGTTGGTAAGGGGATTGCAAAGTGAGACCCTCATCCTCTTGCTAGGGGAGTCCTAATCTGTCCAGCTTCTGGGGATCCTTTGTTTGTATATCAGAATTTTAAACTTAAATACTCTCTCTTCCAGCAATAATTTGATTTCATTTATTTAGCAAATATTGAGGATCCATCATGTTCAGGTACGGTTTGAGGTGCCGAACTTGTACTCTTCCTAAAGAGATAAGACAAGTGCATAAAGATAAATATCTTGGCCAGGCATGGTGGCTCACGCCTGTAATCCCAGCACTTATGGGAGGCCAAGGGAGACGGATTACTTGAGGCCAGGAGTTCGAGACCACCCTGGTCAACATGACAAAACCCCGTCTCTACTAAAAATACAAAAATTGGCCAGGTGCAGTGGCTCATGGCTGTACGGTAGTCCCAGCTACTCAGGAGGCTGAGGCATGATAATTGCTTGAGCCTGGGAGGCAGAGATTGCAGTAAACTTAGATGGCACCACTGCACTCCAGCCTGGGAGACAGCACCACTGCACTCCAGCCTGGGAGACAGCCAGACCTTGTCTCAAAAATAAATAAATATAACATAGATATTTAAGGATGGACCGGGCAGTTCTGCTTGAATTAAAAACTGTAAATAGCCCAAAAGTCCACTGAAAGCTGACTGTTACAAAAGCAGGGTACACTCTTATAATGGCACGCTGTGTGTCTGTTTCAAAGGAGCTAGATCTGTGTATACTGACGTGAAGAGATGCCAAGAGCTAGTAGGTGAGGAGTGCTAGCCTCAGGATAGAATGCCGTGGTACAGTTCATTGAGTTTAAGGATATGTGTATATACCCCTACTGGTATGGAACATGTTAGGAACTTGGGGCCTCTGGGAAGACTGTTAAGGAGAGCAGGAGGTAAAGGAGGGGAACTGGGATTTTCATTTTTCCCTTCATCTCTTTCTGTACTATTGAATTCTTTTTAAATGACTGTGTGTACTTCTCTGACTTACTGAAGTGTTTTCTTGTATTGTCTCTCACTTAGAAAGCAGATGCACATACAGTGGAGCTGGAGATCTCTGAGACCCGAGTGGCCAAACTAAGAGATGAAGGGGAGAGGCTTCATTTACCTTACGTTTTACTCCAGGAGGTTTACAAATTAGAGGTATGTCTGAGCAGCATTCACTCAGCACTGTGATTGTGAGGAGTCAGACTTTTTTATTCCACCAACAGAGTTTAGATTTGTCTTCAGTTGCTTCGCTGGTTGGATGAGAATGCATGTGTGCACCTGTTCTTCTCTTTTCAGGATATACTTGACAGTATGTGGGGAATCCTAAGAGCCAGGTACGCAGAACTCAGCGGCCCTTTCGTCACTGAGAGCCAGCAGGATGCTTTGTTGCAAGGTGTGGTGGAACTGGTGAAGATTGGGAAGGAAAAGCTTGCTTGTGACCACTTAAAACAAACCAAAAGCAAAGTGGCATTACAGGCTCAAATAGAAAATCACAAGGTGAGACACATGGGTTGGATGACCCCTTCATAGACTAAAATCTTAAGGTTTTTCTGACTGGAAACAGAAAGGATCCATTTTTCTTCTTTGTTGAAATTTAAGCTATTCATTCTTCTAATAAACATCTATTAGAGTGCTTAATGTGTACCAGGAAGCCTGGTACACTCTAGGAATTTGGATTATGAATAAAAACAGAGACATTTTCTTATAATGATGGAGCTTTCAGCTGATTGAGAAGACAGATGTTTATCAATAAGTCTTCAAACAAATTTAAAATTAAAATGAGGATACATTCTGTGAGAGCATTTAATAGCAGAAAGTGACAGGCAAGTTAGAAAAGGCTTTCCTGAGAACTAGAATCGAAAGGAAGGTATAGATTTATGTAATATAAGACTATAATAAATCCTTTCATTTTTAAAATTCATTAAACAAAAACCTCCTGATCACCAACTAAAGATAAAGAGTAATCTAGGTGCTAACAATTAAAAATGTGTAAGACAGTCCCTACCTGAGGTAAGCTTACAGTTTAGCATTTGGAAGGTAGAGCTTAGTCTAAGAAAAATTGAAAGATAAATATTGTATGAAGGATAGAGGGGAAGAAGAGAAAATAATATTATCTACAGTGTGCCAGGCCCCTTGCTAGATGCTTTTATAAACATCTCTATGTATATGTCCTTTTCGAGGCTGAGGAGAAGGGATTCACATAATATTGCGGGGTCTCTCCAGGCAACTGGAGGAGGCAGTACATGGAGAAGAACCATGTGAAATAAAGCCTTCCTCTTGAAAGGTTCTTGAAGTACAAATACAGATACAGGACGTGAAGGACAAATGGCCGGGATTCCTATACACCCCCATTAGCAAATTCCCTTTATTTAGTCATTTTCTTGAGTAGAAGTTAAAGCCAGGGTTAAGGAGCCCTGTCTTTCAACTATGTGGGCTGCTTGAATTTGCACATCTGTTCATCCAACTTGTCTTGAAATTCATCAACCACATTGGCATCTGTTTTTTGTTTGTTTGTTTTTAAGAGACAGGGTTTCTCTGGTTTCCAGGCTGTAGTGCAGTGGTGTAATCATAGCTCACTGTAGCCTTGAAATCCTGGTCTCAAGCGATCGTCTCACCTGAGCCTCCTGAGTAGCTGGGCGTACAGACGTGTGCCACCATACCTAGCTGGCATCTATCTTTTTGTAACATTTAAAGAATTCAAAACAACTGATTTAGAAAGATCTATCTGGAAATTGAAATTGACTAACAAAAATGTTTGCATTTAAAATGGATTATTTTGGGGAAAATAATACTTAAGGATAATACTTCTTTATAATTTGTTAAAGTTCCACTAATGTTCAAAGACTAAGAGTTTGGTTTTTTTTGAGGCGGAGTCTTGCTGCCTCGCCCAGGCTGGAGTGGTGCAGTGGCAAGATCTCAGCTCACTGCAACCTCCACCTCCCAGGTTCAAATGATTCTCCTGTCTCAGTCTCCCAAGTGACTGGGATTACTGCTGTCCACCACCACGCCCGGCTAATTTTTGTATTTTTGGTAAAGATGGGGTTTTGCCATGTTGACCAGGCTGGTAAATTTTGTTTTCTCGTGTATTTGACTCTACACAAATGTCCTGGGATTTTGGATTTAAAACAAAAATAACGATATAAAGTTGGAGTAACTTGGTTTTTAAGATTTTCACAATTTGAAAATAAAAACACTTTTCATCTCATAGGTTTTTTTCCAGAAGCTTGTTGCTGACATGTTGTTGATCCAAGCATACTCTGCCAAAATACTTCCTTCTTTATTGCAAAAGAGAGAGACATTTTGGGCAGAACAAGTAACAGAAGTTAAAATACTAGAAGAAAAGTCACGCCAATGTGGTATGAAGCTGCAGAGTTTGTTGCAGGTATTTGGATTTTGTAAACATTGTACTGAAGGTGGGAATTTCTGATTTTGTATCACCAGAACAGGTGTTGAGAAGTATCTGGTTATCATTAAGCTATACTTAAATGGAAGCCTGACAATGAGGAAGGTGGACCCCTGCTCAGGTTCCGAGGCCACTCCCTGAGCAAAGGCTGGCTGGTATTTCCCTTACGTAGATTTGGGATGTTACTGCGTCTCTTTGCCACTTAGGTTCGTGTATGAGTAAGCAAAACGATAAGCACTTTGAGATCTTGAATGAGATCATTTGGGTGAACTGATTTAGAAACTGTACTTCTTCAAGAGAACAGGCCCAGATGTCCTAAAATGGATTCATGACATTTTGTCTAAATTCAAAGAAAAAAATGAAGCATGTATAAAGCTCCTTCTCTGTTTTAAGCCATTCCGCTCACACCTTTCACAGCCAAAGTTGGTAAAGAAAAACAGGGAATAAAGAAAAAAGGAAGCAAATGTTCAGCTTGATAATGTACTATGGTATTATTTTATGCTAACAAAATTTATTTTCTAGTTTGTCAAGTTGATATTTTTAATATTTCGTGGTATTTTTTTAAAGACTCTGTGGACCCCGTGAGTGTTCTATAAAAGCCAAATGAGCCACTGTATGAATAGATATGGAAATTAGTGAGGTGGCTATTTTTCTAACAGATGATGTTTGGAGTCAGTAACTCGGCTTTGTGGTGTGTTGGGATCCTAGACAGAGGTGGGTGTCCATGGAAATGGGGCAAGCTGGAAGAAGACCAGCCTAGGGCTGAGGCAGTTGTCCTCCCCGGATAAAGTGTAAGCCTATACTCCTCAAAGAGGCCTTGGGCAGACCTGTGCTTCAGGTGGCACAGGAGTTTGGTGAACTTGGGCCTGGGCTTGGAGAGCAAGAGGAGCCTAATAAGAGCTCCTGTTGAATGAGGGTCTAAAAGTTAGCTCTTTGGCTTCCTTAATAAGAGAAAGCCTCTCTTGTGGCTCTGAGGTCTCTACAGATTTGCTAGGAGTATCACTTTAACTTCATTGTGTCACTCCTTTAGTCATGTTACCCAGTTTGACAGGGCAAGCATAAAACACTGATGCCAACTGGGATTCTTTTTAAACCTTGTCCTCAAAGGCAATGGAATTATTTTCCATTAGATGCTGAGCTCATACCAGAGTGGGTTACATCTCTCGGACACACCCCTGGAATCTGAGCTTTAATTTTGTGTGGTCTTGGTGTTCATTTTTGTTTTGTGATTAATTGTGTTGTTATCTGGAACCAGTCTAGTAAATGGCTCCCACTGATTTTATGTCTTTGATTCTCTAGAAATGGGAAGAATTTGATGAAAACTATGCATCTCTTGAAAAGGACCTGGAGATTCTTCTGTCTACATTGCCCTCTGTGAGTTTGGTGGAAGAAACTGAGGAAAGATTAGTGGAAAGGATTTCATTTTACCAGGTATTTTTCTTCCATTTAAGTTATCAAAGGCATGCACATAGCATTTTGTGTTTTACATTTGTTTTGACGAAATGGTTTGATTTTGAAGGTTTGAATTCAAACAAAACATTCATCATACAACTCACTGTTGAATACATTCAGGGAGACTGCAGCCTTCAACGTGAACTGCTCAGTATACCGTATGTCTGGCTTTGGGGAGAGGACCTTGTTTGAGTCGTGGCTCCATCAGTTATCACTTCTGTGACCTTACTGTCCCTAAGCATCAGTTTCTTTGTCTGTGGAATGTAGATAATTGAGCCAATTCTACCTGTCTCTGGAAGTGAATGCCATTGAGCTACTCATGTGGAAATGAGCTGAAGAATGGAAAGAACTTTGTCAGCCTTCAGCCTCTAAACGTGTGTTTAGTTTTATTCCTTTGCTTTTTTTTTTGTTTGTTTTTGTTTTTTTGTTTTTGTTTTTGTTTTTGTTTTGAGACAGAGTTTCACTCTTGTTGCCGAGGCTGGAGTGCAGTGGGGTGATCTCGGCTTACTGCAACCTCTGCCTCCCAGGTTCAAGTGATTGTCCTGCCTCAGGCTCCCGAGGAGCTGGGATTACTGGTATGCACCACCATGCCCGGCTAATTTTGTATTTTTAGTAGAGACTGGGTTTCTCCATGTTGGTCAGGCTGGTTTTCAACTCCCGACCTTAGGTGATCCAACCCCCTCGGCCTCCCAAAGTGCTGGATTACTGGCATGAACCACTGTGCCCGGCCTAGTTTTATTCCTACAGTGAAGTCCTGACTGGACGTAACCCATGAGACAGACAGTAATCTTATGTGCCACCAGCATTATAAAAACACCTCAAACTTTTCAACTTTGTGTGTGTAACTTTTAATAGTATTATCATCTGTCTCCATGTCTGTAATTTTGGTGCCAACGAAAAAATAAAACCTTAAAAATGGGTTTCAAGTGGCATTGAGAACACGTACAACAAGATAAAAACAAGTTTTAAGGCTTCCCACCAGGAGGGTAAAGTGCTTAATTTTAACTTTAGAATATACGCGGTCAGAATCTGAGTTGCGCGGCTAGAGGCAGTTATCACATATCAACTTTAAAACTTCAGAAGCACATTTCTCGCTTGAATGAACTAGGTGGAAAATGAAAGCAGGAAATACTTGCATAGCCCTCTCTTCCGTGGAGGTGTTTTAGCCCCTATAAAAAACATTTTCCAGAGGCTGGGACACTGTACACTCTCCAGACGCCTGGAAAGCTACAGCTGGTCTCATTGCCACCTTATTAATTATATTGAGCCTTAGGGTAAATCTGGGTCCTCTGGGGTGGGCGGTAGTGGGGGTGAGGGGAGTACTGTTTTGCTCTTCGTTAGTCTAGGGATACAGAAAGTATCATTTAAACAGCTGAAAGAATGCGGTTGAAAACAGTATTTTAAGGCTTATTATTTTAAGCAACAGTCTAATATTAGCCAACCTAATATGAGTGTGATTATTTCCTCCAGAAGTGACCATATCTGTTAAAATGTGTGATTCTATTACGTTTGAAATTTTAAAAAGAAAAAGAATTGTTCTAAGACTTTTAAATAAATTTGCCAGACTAAAGGAAGACATATCTTGTAAAGCCCATCTCCCATATAGACTTTATAGGCCATTCTGAGTTCAGAGTCAAGGAAAGGGTTGTGTGACTCTGACAGATGTCGTCATCTTGATCAGCAGATGTCTGTGGGGCTTGGAACCTAGGGGTTGTGTGGCTTTTAAGTCGAACAAATGTGTGTTCAAATGCTGGCTCAGCCTAGTGACCCATGCACAGACTGTCTCCTATGCATAAGATGGGTGAATTAGGCCGGGCGTGGTGGCTCATGCCTATAAGCCTAGGACTTTAGGAGGCCGAGGCTGGCAGATAACTTGAGGTCAGGAGCTTGAGACCAGCCTGGCCAGTATGGTAAAACCCCATCTCTACTAAAAATACAAACATTAGCCGGACATGGTGGTACATCCCTGTAATCCCACCTACTCGAGAGGCTGAGGCAGGAGAGTCACTGGAACCCTGGAGGCGGTGGCTGCAGTGAGCCGAGATCGCGCTGCTGCACTCCAGCCTGAGTGACAGAGCGAAAATTCATCTCAAAAAAAAAAAAAAAAAAAAAAAGTGAATTAAGACTTTTCAGAGATGTTTTAAAGATAAAAGAATCTGGCACTTCACTTAGAAAACTAGACTGACTTTTTTTTTTCTTTTAATACAGATATTGGGTGTTTCATTTTTATTCTAGCCCACACAGGCTCAGACAGTGGGAGTGAATTACAAATGGGAGTGGTGGAAAGGGCCATGGAAGTAGAATTTTTGGGTTATTTATTTATTTATTTATTTAGAGACAGGGTTTCGCTCTGTCACCCAAGCTGGAGTGCAGTGGTGGGATCTCAGCTCACTGCAACTTCTGCCTCCTGGTTCAAACAGTTGTCCTGTCTCAGCGTCCAGAGTAGCTGAGACTACAGGCACATGCCACCACACCCAGCTAATTTTTTTGTATTTTTAGTAGAGACTGGGTTTTACCATATTGGCCAGGCTGGTCTCAGTCTGGTTTTCACCATGTGGGCCACGCTGGTCTTGATCTCCAGACCTCATGATCCACCCGCCTCAGCCTCCCAAAGTCCTGGACTTACAGGCATGAGCCACCATGCCCAGCCTTTTTGATTACTTTTTCTTTTTTACCCTGAACTACGTGGAATGGACTTTGGTAATTTTTTTAAAAGGCCTAGTTAAAAAATAGCAAACCTGTTTTGATAATTATTTGTTAAGATTAAACAAGTGTCAGGATAAATGGCATTAGCTGAATCCAGCTGTGTTAGATAATTACCTTTAGACAGACTTCTCTTCAAAGAATTTAGTTTTTCTTTCCTTGAAGTTGGATTAATGATGTGCTGTTTTAATTTATTTCTCTAAAGTTTTCTTCCTTTCTCTCTACTGAATCTTTATATTCAGTAGAAGACCCTGAAAATAAATTTTTCTGCCTACTATTTGCATCTCGTGGATGATAAAGAAATACTGTTTTATTTATCCTCTTCCTACCTTAAGTCACCATCTAAAGTGCTTGGGTGGGGGGCAGGCAGGAGAACAGAAATAAGGAACATCTGCTGAGTCTGCAATCAGGGATGGTGGGACTGAGCTGAGGGAAAAGAAGAAGGGAGTAAGCTCTCTTAGCGCAGTCAGCTGCTGCTCTGTTCCGGCCACCCTTTGCCACATGAGATGCAGACCAACAATTGCCAGGTCTTCCAGTTTTCCCAGAGACACTGGCAATCCCGATTATTAGGTAAGATTTCCTGATTTTTCAAATTGATCTTGAGGTTACACAAAACCTGCCTGTGAACTCAGCATGGCCTGTAGACTGCCAGCTTCTTTGATTTGTTTTTGTTTGTATGCAATAAATCTGTAGAGTTGATTTGGTTTGTTTGCTTGTTTGTTTTAAGACAGAGTCTCACTCTGTCACTCAGGCTGGAGTGTAGTGGTGCAATCTCACCTCACGGCAGCCTCTGCCTCCTGGGTTCAAGCAATTCTGCTTCAGCCTCCTGACTAGGATTACAGGCATGTGCCACCAGGTCCTGCCTCAGCCTCCTAAGTAGCTAGATTATGGGCATGTGCCACCACACCTAGCTAATTTTTTGTATTTTTAGTAGAGATGGGGTTTCACCATGTTGGTCAGGCTGGTATCACATTGCTGATCTCAAGTGATCTGCCTGCCTCAGCCCTGCAAAGTACTGGGCTTACAGGCGTAAGCCACCGCCTCCAACCAATAGGGCTACAGAGTTGAATCTATGCTCTAGAAATGCAGGATGGGATACTCATCATGAAGGTGACCCATTCGCCACTAATCATGCATCCAGTCAGACTATAGTCTTGAAGGTGGGGAAGTGTTCATGTTTCATCAGTAGACACAAATGTCAGTTTTAAACGATGTATTTGTGAATAGCTTAGTAGACTTTATTTTTTAAATAATTCATTTTGTGACTTTACTTTTTATTAGCAAATAAAGAGAAACATTGGTGGAAAACACGCTCGGCTTTACCAAACTCTGCACGAAGGCAAACAATTGGTGGCATCTGTGAGCTGTCCTGAATTAGAGGGCCAGATCGCAAAACTGGAAGAGCAGTGGTTGTCCCTGAACAAGAAAATTGACCATGAGCTCCACAGGCTGCAAACACTTGTCAAGCACCTGCTCAGGTCTGCCTTTTGGGGGTGGATTGGCTTCACATTGCGCTGTGGAGAAAGACCTCAGGGATTCTGGCGTCAGCTAAATTTTACCTGCAACCCACCTTATGCTGTTTTTTCTTGGGCATTTGGGTCCCTCTTCTGGGCTAAACGCAATGTAGAATCTCTGATAGTTTGCTAGGCACAGCATAAAATGTAATCAGTGTGCTAGGATTGTTTTGTTTGTTTTGTTGTTGTTGTATGGAGGCAGAGTCTTGCTCTGTCCCCAAGGCTGGAGTGCAATAGCACAGTCATAGCCCACTGCAACCTTGAACTCCTGAGCTCAAGTGATCCTCCTGCCTCTGCCTCCCAAGTTGCTGGAACTACAGGCATAGACCACCATGGCCAGCTAATTTTGTAAAATGTTTTGTAGAGACAGAGTCTCACTTTGTTGCCCAGAGTGGTCTCAAGCTCCTGGCCTCAGGCAGTCCTCCTGCCTCAGCTTCCCAAGATGGTGAGATTACAGGTGTGAGCCGCTGCACCCAGCCAGTTAACACATTTCTAGAGAAGCTAGGAATTATGTTATAAAATATACGTAGGTTACCTTTATACCACGATAATGCTCTTTCTTACCCTCTTCTAAAAGTTTTAAAATTAAAAAAATTAAATGATTTTAGTTAACAGAATAGTTTGAAATAGGCTTTTGAGTTCTTCAGAGAATTTCTTGTGCTTAGTTTATGTAATCTTGAACCATGTGAGGAAGGAGGAGAACATAGAACATTTAAACCTTTTTCTCATCCCTGCCTCTTTAACCTAAGGCAGTTTAAAAGTTACAAGAAGGGCAGAATTTTGTTTGGATATTTTTGCTACCTTGGGCAAATATGCTGGTGTTCAGCCAACAGCAGTTTGTTGTGATGCAGCTTATACAATGCTGGGTGTGTGTGAGGGGGGTGGTGTGTATGTGTATATGTATGTAAAATTTTATTTTATAAAAATTATATATATATGTATAATTTTATTTATTTTTTGAGACAAGGTCTCACTCTGTCGCCCAGGCTGGAGTGCAGTGACATCACGACTCATTGCAGCCTTAACCTCCTGGGCTCGAGCAATCTTGCCACCTCAGCCTCCCAAGTAGCTGGGACCACAAGCAGATGCCACGACGCCCAGCTAATTTTTGTGTTGTTTATAGAGATGGGGTTTTGTCATGTTGCCCAGGCTGGTCTTAAATTCCTGGGCTCAAGGTATCTTTCCACCTTGACCTCCCAAAATGCTGGGATTATAGGAGTGAGCCACTGTGCCTGGCCTATATTTTTACTATAAACGAATTTATAGAAGACAATTGATGAATAAAAATAATCTCTGCCCCTTCATTGGGTGTAATTTTGTATAGCTGTAATAAAAAATAAAAAAGAATGCCTTAGGCTTTAAGATCCGCATTGCTCTTTTGTCTTGTATTGTTGTGTTGTGTTTTTTTGAGACAGAGTCCCACTCTGTTGCCCAGACTGGAGTGCAGTGGAGTGACCTCAGCTTACTGCAACCTCTGCCTCCCGGGTTCAAGTGATTCTCCTGCCTCAGCTTCCTGAGTAGCTGGGATTACAGACGTGTGCCTCCATGCCTGGCTATTTTTTTGTATTTTTTGGTAGAGACAGGGTTTCACCATGTTAGCCAGGCTGGTCTCGATCTCTTGACCTCGTGATCCACCCGCCTCGGCCTCCCAAGGTGCTGGGATTATAGGCGTGAGCCACTGCACCTGGCCTAAAGTCTTCATTGATCTTGCTGAGCTATAATGAAGAGAGTCCTAGAAAACGTCAGGGGCATCAGTTTTGGGGCATGGCATAAAACATGATATAATCCTTATAATTATCATGATATTCTGATTGTTAGGACTGATCAACATAGGAAAACACAAAAGAAGAAAATTTGCTGGTGATGCATATCATTATCAGAGTATGTTTCTCATCTGCCTTCTCTCTCATCTTTCCTCTGTTAGTTATAACAGAGATTCGGATCAGTTAACCAAGTGGTTGGAATCTTCCCAGCATACTCTGAATTACTGGAAAGAACAGTCCCTCAATGTGTCTCAGGACTTGGATACAATCAGAAGCAACATCAACAATTTTTTTGTAAGTTGTAATAGCACATGTTCAGTTAATTACTGGTCAGAAATAGATATCAAGGAAAAAGCATCAGGGTTAATGTGATGGTCTTCGTATTCATTTGTGGATAAGACTTGGGCGAATAGCAGCTATGGTCTTCAAACTTAGAACTATTTGTTTATACTGTTCATTTATAATGATAAAATGTATTTTTAATTGACCAAAAATGTATTTTTAATTGACCCTATAAAATATATATAAATTTAACACTTACTGACATGGGTCATGTTTTACAAATACAGAAAATACCCCCAATCAAGACCCACAAACAATTTTATAAGGTTATTGACTTATAAATGTTAACAATAAATGCATAGTTTTAAATTATTGTAAACAAAATTGATATTTCTAAAAAGTTTTTGTTCCATTGTTTTGAGATGTTTTTTGGGGAAAAAATTCAAAAATATCCCCCAAACTTCGAGGGAAATAAAAAGGTATTACTCTTGTAATATAATTACAAAATGATTATTTGTCAATGCACTTATGAAACGTAGACTTTTCCATTAGACTTTTCTCAGTTTTTTCCATTTTTCATACTTTGTAGCTATGGTTACTCACTTTGGTATTAAAATATAAATGTTTTTCAACATACTTGAAAGAATCTGTACATAGGAAGGTTTTAAATATTTTAATTATAAACTTGTTGCAAGTAATTTATTTAATATGCACTTGGTGTTGGGTTCCATAGTTTATTGTAAAACTTACCATTTAAATAATGACTTGTCTATTTTTAAAAATACTAACCCACTGTGTTATAAGCTTTTTGAAGGGTATCCATTCCATCTCTTTTGTTCCCCTCTGTGTATCTGATAACTGACAATAGGAAAAAGAGCGTGTGTGTGTGTGTGTGTGTGTCTGTATGTGTACACATTCAAATACAGGTATTGATCGACTTACGACCTATGCAACTTACGACCATTCGACTTTATGACCACAATCGCTAGCCACGACTGCTCCGCTGTAGATTTTTGGAAACACTACAACATTTTGATGTGTATCAAGAATATCGCTACCGCCTGGGAGACTGTGACGAAAAAGTGCGTGAATGGCATCTGGAAAAATTGTGTTAAGCGCTATGTTAATGATTTTGACGGATTTGACAGTGAACATGAACTTGAAACGATTCGGGGAAAAAATAGTAAAACTCGCTAAAGACCTTTCTTTGGAGTATGAAATGGAAGATGTCGAAGAGTTGCTAGACAAAGAATCCGGAGAACTTACAAATGAAGAGCTAATCGAACTGGAAGAAGAAAGAGTGGCGGAAAAAGAAAGAAGAGAAGCAGAGGAAGAAGAGGAGGAGCCAGAAAGAAAGTTCACCACTAAGGGATTATCAGACAGTTTATCTTCACTGAATAAACTTCTTATACATTTCGAAGCAATGGACCCAAACATCGAACGATTTGCAAGGATTGAATGGATGGCACACGATGTGTTTCATCCGTATCGTGAAATTTATGAAGAAAAAAAGAAACATACAATTCAGACAAAGCTCACCATGTTTATGAAAAAACCAACTCCGGTAACCTCAACTGCTGCCTCAGATGACGACATCAACGATCCGCAGCCAAGCACCAGCGGCCAGTAAAATGTTTCGTACATGTTTATATATTTTGATACGTTTTGCAACTGGGAAAATGTTTCCTATGGTATTTTTTACACCTGTATTTTGTATTTTTGTATGCACCTGTATTTTGTAATTTTGTATGTTTTGCAAATATTAAACCAGTTGTACTGGTAATGCAGTGTTTTCTTAAACCTGATGAATGTAAAAATAAGAAACAAAATGGTATAGAGTTGATACAAATGGCATAAAATGAACAAAGAAAATTATGATATATAACAATAATGAAAGAAAATTATGATAAAATATGACTTAAAGATTTTTGTAACATCATTCACAGTACTGTGCATATAGCCTACTCAACTTACTACCAAATCATGTTACAACCGGTCTGTCGGAACCAATCGTGGTCATAAGTCGAGCACTAGCTGTATTTACTATGTTTAATTTTCCAACTCTAGCCAGTTATTCTGACTCTTACTTTCTGCTGTATTTAAATTTTAAAAGTTTCTAAATTTTAAAACTCTCTCCTTTAGGAGTTTTCAAAAGAAGTTGATGAAAAGTCCTCCTTGAAGACTGCCGTTATAAGTACCGGGAACCAGCTTCTTCACCTGAAAGAAACTGATACAGCTACGCTGAGAGCTTCTTTAGCACAGTTTGAACAGAAATGGACAATGCTCATAACTCAACTTCCAGATATTCAGGAAAAACTTCACCAGGTAAGCTTTTAGAGACTCAGCATTTGAATTAGCATTCATTTGTTAGCTCCCAACTCTTTTAAAATTATTTCTCTGACTCAATAATTTTCATTGACACTACCCATTTTTCTCTGGCACCACTGAATATAGGTCCTAATTACCGGACTCTCCTCCAATGGGGTCTTTCTTAAGAGAGAAATCAGGCTTAATTACTTTATTTCTCAGTTTATCTTTGCCACTATGTTAGTTTATGTGAAGGTCATTGTCATTGTTTTGGGGTCACTTATTCTAAGTTTGAATGCTGGGTTTGTTTTTTTGAGTAACCTGCATAATTATATTGAAAGACCTTTTATCAAACCAGATATCATCTTTAATGATGCCCTGATTCATTTTGTTAACTGCAGGCAATTAAATGGAAATCATTTTGTTCTTACAGCTTCAAATGGAGAAATTGCCATCTCGTAAAGCAATCACAGAAATGATTAGCTGGATGAACAATGTGGAGCATCAAACTTCAGATGAAGACTCCATGCATTCACCAAGTTCTGCATCTCAAGTTAAACATCTTCTTCAGAAGCACAAGGTAATTATGCAAAAGGAGCAGAAGTCTTTTCATTGAAACAAGAAGGCTAATCAGTTAGAGGGGTAATGCTGGATAAAGGGACACATAGGATATAATTTCGAAAAACTAATTCTAGGGGTAGGAAACTGGGGTGGTGGATGATTCTAAAGAGATGTTAGTAGACTTGCTTTTATTCCACTTAAAATTATTTTGCTAGCCCCCATCACCACAGGACAACCCAAGCAAGGTTTTAGCAGACTCTAGTCTCATCTTTTCATCCACACCCTGCCGCCCCCATAAACCGTGGACCCTGCCCGACAGAGTAATTTCGGTTCCTTAACAGTTTTTGGTGCTCTCGGTCGTCATGCTGTGTACATGCTGCACCCTGCCCCTGGAATGCCAGTGCCCACTTTTATCTGTATACATCCTCTTAGTCATTCTTCCAAAGTCAGCTCGAGTTGTCCTCATTTGGAAATCTGCCCCTGACTCTCCTAGCCCAATTAGGTGACTTTCCTGGTTTAGATGTCTCCATGGTGCTATTAGTAGATCCTATAGTGTATTATTATAATTATTGGTTTACCTGCCTGTCTCCCCGCCTTGACTGAGCGTCTTGAGACGAGGGACTGTCCTTCACCTCCCTATAATGTAGCACGCCTATCCCAATACCTGCCTTCCTCCAGCAGGAGTTTACATGTTCTTTGAGTAAGGGAATGGGTAAGAAAAAGTTGAGATTCTTCTACAAATAGATATAAATGTGGCCTTCTCCACGCTATTTAATTTCAAGTAGATTTAATTAACATTTCATGAGCCACACGCAAACATATATTGTGTGCTCAGCAGTATGCTGGGCACTGGGAATACAAAGACGAGTGACAAGCGTGGTCATTGTTTTAAGACCATGCAGGCTGATGGAGCTGGCTTCTGGTAGGCAGAAGATGAATGCCTTAATCACCAAACATATGAGCGGAGGATTTTGTTTTTATGTACCATCACATCCTAACTTCAGTGTGTAGTACAATCTTTGAAAAGTCTACAAGTGTATATTCTCACAGGCTGTAGCAACCTAGCACATACCACATGATTGTCACCCCTGGATGTCTCCAAAGGAGGTGCTAGAACTTGTAAAGATAAAATCAGTGAGTGAGAGGTTTGGCAGAAATGCTGTTGGCCCTCAGTGAGTTTAGAATTGCTGTACAACTTAAAGCCACCCAAACTGCCCCGAGAGGCCTTAACTATCCCAGAAGGAACAGGGAAGCTGCCTAAATGACAGAGTTCCTTAAAGGTTACTGGGTTTTCTAGGAGAGGCTTTACTTCCTATTTCCTGTCTGGTTGTTTCCATGAGCCCCCAGAATTCCAGCACAGCTCACAGGCCGCCTCTCCCAGGAAGCCTTTGTCATATCTTGGGTCCTCATTTGAGTTCAGTTGACAGGAACTGTCATACACAATGCCCCTGTGACTTTTCAACCTATTTGAAAGTAATTCCCCAAAAGAACCTCTACTCAAATAAAACCAACTCCTGGTGGAGGTTGGGGAGGGTAGAACGGAACTCCTGACAGGTGCCCCTTGATTAATGAATGGAAGCTTGGCGCCCCCTCGAGTACATAAAGGGAACTCGAATTCATCTGACCAATGTCCATGACTGCTTTGGGTGTTTAACTTTGCTTGTTTGTTTTAGGAGTTTAGAATGGAAATGGACTATAAACAGTGGATAGTTGACTTTGTTAACCAGTCATTACTTCAGCTAAGCACCTGTGATGTGGAAAGCAAGCGCTATGAAAGAACGGAGTTTGCAGAGCACCTGGGGGAGATGAACCGCCAGTGGCACCGTGTACATGGAATGCTGAATAGAAAGGTGTGTTCCTGGGTCACAGCTGGATGTATGGATTGGCCTTTGTAAAATACACTCTCTGAAAAATCAAAAGACATTTAATTAGTTGACTAACTGATTACTAAGCCTAATAATCATCTCAACTAAGTCCCTTTTAAAAATCCTATGTTTTATCATTCTCCATTGGTACCTATAAGAGTATATGAAAATAGTTATTATATTTGAGATTTCTTAGTGGGAAATTGAGTTAGGCAAGTGAAGAAGAGGAATTTTATTTAGAAACATGTCAAGTATTATGTCAGGCTCCTAAATTATTAGAGATTATACATTTTCTATGAAAGCAGATGTTTGAAAGGGGCAAAGCTTTTTCAGCTTTGAAAAGATTATAAAAAGAAAGAAAAATGCATGCGACTTTTTGGTAGATTTTTTTTTACTCCATTGACTCTTGAAAAGATTCAGAAAACTTATTCCTGAAAAGACACTTTACATATAATCATAATGATAATAGGTGTGTTTACTGTGTAGAGAATGCATGCAAATGGATTTATACAGTTAAGGTACAAGTACATGAATGGATGAAGAACATGAACATACAATTCACAAAAGAGGAAATTATAGTTAGAAAATAAACATGGAAAGATGTCATTTTCAGATACTCAAAATAAACACTATGTAACACAATGCACTTATTAAATTTAAAAAGAATTAGATAAGGGCACAAACCCAAAGCTGTCATGTTTCTACATTGCTGATAATGGTTTAAGTACTCTCTTAGAAAGCATTTGGAAAAATTAAAAAACTGTAATAATAATCTTATTACTTAAGCAAGTCATCTCTTATACATTTAAGTAGATAGACCTTCAAAAAAGAAAAAGATATGCGCAGAATGCTCAACTCAACATCATTTATACTGGTGAAAATGCTCCATGCCTTAATTCCCACTCTAGGGGAATAATTAATCAAATTATACTGTATTCATTTGATGAAACATTGGGGCAGTATTTTTTTTTTTTTTTCTTCATTTTTTGAGGCAGAGACTCGCTCTGTCACCCAGGCTGGAGTGCAGTGGCACAATCTCAGCTCACTGCAACTTCTGCCTCCTGGGTTCAAGCAATTCTCCTGCCTTAGCCTCCCAAGTACAGTAACTGGTATTACAGGTGCCTGCCACCAAACCCAGCTAATTTTTGTATTTTTGTATTTTTTTTTTTTTTTTTTTTTTTTTGAGATGGAGTTTCGCTCTTGTTACCCAGACTGGAGTGCAGTGGCGCGATCTTGGCTCACCGCAACCTCCGCCTCCTGGGTTCAGGCAATTCTCCTGCCTCAGCCTCCTGAGAAGCTGGGATTACAGGCACGCGCCACCATGCCCAGCTAATGTTTTGTAGTTTTAGTAGAGACGGGGTTTCACCATGTTGACCAGGATGGTCTCGATCTCTTGACCTCGTGATTCACCCACCTTGGCCTCCCAAAGTGCTGGGATTACAGGCGTGAGCCACCGCGCCCGGCCTAATTTTTGTATTTTTAGTAGAGATGGGTTTCACCATATTGGTCAGGATGGTCTCGAACTCCTAACCTGAAGTGATCCACCCACCTCGGCCTCCCAAAGTGCTAGAATTACAGGCATGAGCCACTGCGTGTGGCCAGGCAGCCTTTTAAAATTGTGTCATGATACAGTACTTATGATATATTGTAAAAAGGAATATTAGGCCGGGTGTGGTGGCTCACGCCTGTAATCCAAGCACTGTGGAGGCCAAGGCGGGTGGATCACCTGAGGGTCGGGAGTTCAAGACCAGCCTGACTAACATGGTGAAACCCTGTCTTAAAAAAAGAAAAAAGATTTTAAAAAAGGAATATTAAAGTTTGTGTATATTATTATGACCTAATACAAATTTTATTATGAATGAGAAGAATCCAGACATAAAGACAACAATTATTTCATTAAATTGATAAGTTGTTTATTATTGATATTGATAGAAATTTTTAAGCAACTCTAATGAAGAAAGTCTGAGGAAAGAAATTTTTCATTTTGTCTCTTTTTTTTTTTTTTTTTTTTTTTTTTTTTGAGATGGAGTCTTACTTTGTCGCCAGGTTGGAGGGCAGTGGCACAATCTCAGCTCACTGCAACCTACGCCTCCTGGGTTCAAGCAATTCCCCTGCCTCAAGTCTCCTAAGTAGCTGAGACTACAGGCATGCAGCACCATGCCCAGCTAATTTGTATTTTAGTAGAGACGGGGTTTCACCATGTTGGCCAGGATGGTCTTGATCTCCCGACCTCGTGATCCACCTGCCTCAGCCTCCCAAAGTGCTGGGATTACAGGTGTGAGCCACTGTGCCCAGCAGAAAGAAATGTTTCTTACACTTTACATATGTCAATAGATGACTCAATGAAAAATATTGACTGTTAGCAACATTTTAGGTTGTATACACCTGAAACTCCGAAACAAATTACCTTTCTCAGCAGATTAGCTTTTACCTTAAATAAGAGATTTTTTTCCAAAGAGGAACTTTAATTCTGTTTCCTGATTTATGAATCTTTATTTCAAAAGTTATCAAAGCATCTTATTACATGAAATATTAGAAATTTGAGAAAAACAAAATTGTTCTTTTAAAAAGAACGTATCATGGCATTTCCCTTTTAAAACATACATTTTAACATTTTTTGTAATTTTCAAATTCATCACTTAGATACAACATTTAGAACAACTTCTGGAAAGTATCACTGAGAGTGAAACTAAAATACAAATTTTGAACAACTGGATGGAAGCACAAGAAGAGAGACTGAAAACTTTACAAAAACCTGAAAGTGTGATTTCAGTGCAGAAGCTGCTCCTGGACTGTCAGGTGAGTAGGGAGACAGCGCCCCGTCCAACCCGCAAGCTGGGGTGATTTGGTCACCTCTCTTGCCCCAAGGACGGGTGGCTGTAGTTTATGGAGACTCTCCTCCGTCTCCCCTCTATTGACTTATTTTCTTTTGTCAATTAGATAATGACCCATTGGTTTTACAAAATTGCAAAGTGCCATTTTGTTATGACAACCAGAAGAATGTATTTTCACAGTTACAGTATTGCCGCTCTTAAGAGGTTTGAGTAGTACTCTTGGGGAAAAAATGTTCAAAGGGAATTTTGATTTAAATCTTTCCAGTTTTCCATTTGCTTAATCCTTTTGCCCAGTGTTCACAAAATTACTCTAAAAATTTCATTCGTTTTAGCTTTTCATTCTATGTTTCTTCAGAGGAAAATGATTTCCTTCTACCTATTGCGTATTGTGTTTTTAAAAGTCCACTTAAAAAGACAAAAGAAAAAAAAAGATTAAAGAAAAAACCAAAAAAAGAAAAAAAAAGTCCATTTGTCCCTTGGAACCTCTGTGTGAATCACATTTGGCCTTGAGGGTGTTGTCCGTGGTTCAGCTGTGTCTTGCTGCGTCACTCAGTCTTTGCACGTTGATCCTGCTTCAGCACTGCCCTTAGGGCCGCTGCCTGTGCAGAGCACCTCTGCCATCGCCATCACTACGGGCGGCACGTGCTGTGCTGTTTCTGCACCTTGTGTGACGGCCTCACACTAGTCACTGTCAGGACTGGAAAGTCTGGCCGGACTCCATTTCCATGGAGGAGGTTACAGGATAGCACTGGACATAAATGTGAGCAGCAGCAGCTCTGTAAGAGGTCTTTTCAGATGGTCACATCCTGTTCCTGCCTCCATGAGCTAGCTCTACTTTAGCCTTCTGACAGCCACCTTGGAGTCCATATCCTTCTTACTGGAAGCCTGCATTCTGCAGTTAGGTGCTGCACTGTCCCCTAGCAGGTGGTTCTTTCCAGAGCCCAGGAGGTGCTTTCACACGTGTCTCTACCTCCAGTTTCTCATTAGGTGCTCTCGACTTACTCCCTACTGTCTGGTCAGTCCGTCTCAGACCAGCTTCCTTCAGACCACTCTCGGTGCAGGCCTGTTTCATGCAGCTGCTTCCCACCCACTTACCAGCCTCCCCTGCCATTTCCTTCTCATTCATTCTCCACATTGCTGCAGAGGGATATTTCTGAAATACAAAGGGTCACAGCAATCCCCATTGAAAAATCCTTCAGTGTCTCCAAATTGACCACAGAATAAAATCCACGTTACAGAATGACATTTTGGTCCCTTACCTACAAAGAGTTGCAAAGAGACCTAAGTCAAGTGAGTCTTTGGTCCAGTTGTGTGTCTCTCTTTGATAGATAATAGTAGCCACTGAACAAGGCTGAAATGGATTAAATTTAGCTATTCTTCACACAACCTCACTACCAAGTTGTAGTAAAACAAATTCCAGACACAATGCCAGCATCCATAGAAACATAGATTAGCAAGCAAGAACTAAAAATGGTTTATATAGGTAAGTTCAGCAAAGCCTCTCTATCCTCTTTAGTGTACCCACCACTTCTTAGGAAAGGCAAACATAGTAATATTCCAGAAACAAGAGTCTGTTATTTCTTTATTGATTGATTGTTGTGTATGTGTGACAGAGTCTTGCTCTGTCGCCCAGACTGGAGCGCATTGGCACGATCTCGGCTCACTGCAATCTTGTGTCCTGGGTTCAGGCAATTCTCCTGCCTCAGCCTCCTGAGTAGCTGGGACTACAGGCACGTACCACCACACCCAACTAATTTTTGTATTTTTAGTAGAGATGGGGTTTCAGCATATTCAAGCTGGTCTCGAACTCCTGACCTCATGATCTGCCCGCCTTGGCCTCCCAAGTGTTGGAATTACAGGCGTGAGCCACTGCATCTTGCCAAGAATCTATTATTTCTATGGCCAACGTTAGGCAACCAGAATCCTTGGAGTTTAAACTGGATACAGAAACCACATAAGGACTTACTTTAGGGGTTATTGTACTGGGTGAAGGCAACAGGCTATACCCAGTTCTTAGAGCCTGTTCAAGTAGGGGTGGAAATTATATCTGCAGTAGTTTAGCAAATCCATGAATCTTGGGTACATGAAATTTACCAGTGAGAACCCATTTCTAATATTCCTTATGTTATTTAACAAGCCAATAAGGCCAGGCACAGTGGCTTATGCCTGTAAGCCCAGCACTTTGGGAGGCCGAGGTGGAAGAATTGCATGAGTCCAGGAGTTGGAGACCAGCCTGGGCAAGATAGTGAGACCTCGTCTCTGCAAAAAAAAATTTAAAAATCAGCCAGGCATGATAGCGCGTGCCTATAGTCCCAGCTACTGAAGAAGCTAAGGGAAGAGAGGATTCTTTCAGCCTAAAAATTCAAGGTGACTGTGAGCTATGATCATGCCACTGCAGTTCAGCCTGGGTGACAAAGCAAGACCCCATCTTTAATAATAATCATCATCATCATCCAATAGAAAACCATTTCTAACATTCACTGTGCTTATTAGAAAAATGACTGGTATTGAATGAGACATGGAGCTTTTAAAGAAATTTACAGACCTGCTGCCTGGCCAGCATCATCTCTTATCAGTCTGCATTTGCCTCTGTGCCATTACGTATGCTGCTGATGCAGAAATCTGTATACCTCCCTCCCCTTGCCCCCACCGTCCACACACAGGTTCTCTTCCATCTTTGTCAGAACTCATTCGAGGCACCCTCCCCCCGCCTTCACCACATGCCCACTGACTGTGCCTTCCTACCTACTCCCGCATTTCCATTAGCTCATTTCTTCCTGTTTTAATTTTTAATGTGCCTCTTGGATGCCTCCTTGTAAAAGGCCATAAACAAGGCCAAGATGGAAGCAAATAAATAAAACAGGTTTCCTTAGCATCCCATGTAGTATCATGTGACAGAGACTGCACTGGACTCATCTGTCCACGGGTCTGTCCTCTACCAGCCTGTGGGTTTCTCAGGGCAGGCTGGCACATCAGCATGGCTGTGATACCTGTCACCGCCTGTGAAACTCATAGATGCTTAATAGTTGCCAGAGTATATATCTATTAGTAGACCTAGAAGGCTGCTTTTCTATAAATGTTAATTTCTCCTTTTTTCACTATTCTTTGCATATAAGAAATAAAATGAGGCCAGGTATGGTTGCTCACACCTGTAATCCCAGCGATTTGGGAGGCTAAGGCAGAAGGATCACTTGAGACCAGGAGTTCAAAACCAGCCAGGGCAACATAACAAGATGCTGTCCTTTCCCAAAGAAAAAAAAAAAAAAAAAAAAAAGTTATCTGGGCATAGTGTTGCACTGTAATCCTAGCTACTCAGGAGCCTGAAGCAGGAAGATCACTTGAGCCCAGGAGGTCGAGGTTCGAGCAGTAAGCCATGATCATGCCACTGCTCTCCAGCTGTATAAGACCCCATCTCTAAAAAGCAAAAACAGAAAGAACAGAAAAAAAAAGAAAATGGTGAAAATGATTAATGTATCCTTTAATGACTTATCCCAGTAGAATGTTTCAGTTCAGGTAAGCTTGCTAAAGTGGCTTTCCTCTAAAAATCTTAAGGACTGGAGCTGATGAAGTATTAAGACATTAGGCTTTGAAATATTCTGAAGGGCTTCTAAAAGTCGTTGATGACCGGTAAAGGCCATGTTTGGCATATTATAATTATAATGATCAAGGAAAACTGTGTAATTGACTAGATTGGGGAGGCTTGAGATGAGGTTATTAATCCTTCAAGTTTGCTGCGTCTATACTATAAGCAAGCACAGCTTCTTACAGAAGCATGTTCATGGTAATCTCAGAGGAATTTAGATATTTTAAAAATATTTAATGCTAGTTCTCAAAGAATAGAAAAGCAGGACTTGCAAATTCTAGTGAATCTCCATAATTAGCAAAAGATTATTTTTAATTCCACCCTGATTTATGTGTCGCAAATAGGAATTTAAAGTAAAACAAATTAATTGCTGGTGCAGTGGGAGTTGGGAAACTTTAAAGGTCCTGTTAGGCCTCAGTGAAGCAAGGGCAGATGACAGGATTATGGGGCCAAATCCATGTTATTCTGCAGAGAAAAAGAAGCAAGCATCTCCACCATGCGTGGGTATTTGTGTGCTGTTATTGCTATGGATTGTTTTTTTATTTTTTTTTTTTTTTTTTTTTAGAGACAGAGTTTCTCATTCTGTCGCCCAGGCTGGAGTGCAGTGGTGCAATCATAGCTCACTGCAGCTTTGAACTCCTAGGCTTAAGAGATCTTCCCACAGCTGGGCATGATGGCTTATGCCTGTAATCCCAGAACTTTGGGAGGCCAAGGCAGGCAGATCGCTTGAGGTCAGGCGTTAGAGACCAGCCTGGCCAACATGATAAGACCCCGTCTCTACTAAATATGTAAAAATTAGCTGAGTGGCCGGGCGCGGTGGCTCAAGCCTGTAATCCCAGCACTTTGGGAGGCCGAGGTGGGCGGATCACGAGGTCAAGAGATCGAGACCATCCTGGTCAACATGGTGAAACCCCATCTCTACTAAAAATACAAAAAATCAGCTGGGCATGGTGGCACGTGCCTGTAATCCCAGCTACTCAGGAGGCTGAGGCAGGAGAATTGCCTGAACCCAGGAGGCGGAGGTTGCGGTGAGCCGAGATCGTGCCATTGCACTCCAGCCTGGGCAACAAGAGCGAAACTCCGTCTCAAAAAAAGAAAAAAAAAAAAAAAAAAAAAAATTAGCTGAGTGTGGTGGCGTATGCCTGTAGTCCTAGCTACTTGGGAGGCTGAGGCAGGAGAATGTCTTGAACCCAGGAGGCGGAGGTTGCAGTGAGCCAAGATCGAGCCATTGCACCAGCTTGGGCAACAGAACGAGACTCAACCTCAAAAAAAAAAAAAAAAGATTCTCCCACCTCAGCCTCCCAAGTAGCTGGGACTACAAGTACATGCCACCACAGCCGGCTAATTTTTGTATTTTTTGTAAAGACAGGGAGGGTTTCATCATGTTCCTCAGGCTTGTCTCAAACCCCTGGACTCAAGTGATCCGCCTGTCTCAGCCTCCCAAAGTGCTGGGATTATAGGAATGAGCCACCATGCCTGGCACGGCTGTTGTTTATGCTGCCATTTTTCCAAAGTGTGGGTGTGGGTGGGTGTGGGTTTGTTGTTATTTTCTTTTGTCTGCTACACAGTCATTTCTTTTTTTTTTTTTTTTTTTTTTTGAGATGAGTTTTGCTCTTGTTGCCCAGTCTGGAGTACAGTGGCATAATCTCGGCTCACTGCAACCTCCACCTCCCGGGTTCAGGCGATTCTACTGCCTCAGCCTCTCGAGTAGCTGGGATTACAGGTGTGCATCAGCATCACCATGCCCAACTAATTTTTGCAATTTTTAGTAGAGCTGGGGTTTCACCATGTTGGTCAGGCTCATCTTGAACTCCTGACCTCAAGTGATCCACCCGCTCCAGCCTCCCAAAGTGCTAGGATTACAGATGTGAGCCACCATGCCTGGCCAGGAAAGACTATTTTATAAATTTAAAGAAGGAAAGTGATTCAGTATTTTTAAAATGTTTTCAGTTGTAACTGCAGATGAAAAATGTTAAATTTAAACTGATGATAAAAGAAACATGCTAACAAATAAGGCTGTCAGGGTATAAGGGAGCGAGTTGGGGCAGCAGAGACGGACAGAGGCAGCAGCTGATCGAATCTCATTGGCCCAGGCTATCTCAGAGAACCCGTTTGGTTTCCTGTGTGCCTTTGTAACCAGTCCGGAAGAATGATTTTTTACAAATTCACCCGCATGTCAGCATGGGTGGATTGTTATCACAGTGAGAAATTTTCTGTTACTATGCTATATAGACATTTATGTGGCTCTAAATTCTAAAAGCACAGAGAGTCATATAGTGGAAGATTCTTCTAGCTCCATTCTCTGGTCATCCCTTCTCACTGCCAATCTTAGCTGTCAGTTTCTTATGGAACAGATATTTTTTTTCTACTTTCCAGTCCAGAAGACCCCTGACATTCATTGATGTAGAGTTTGTGATTTCCAAGAGTGACCTGAGGGCTCCCCACACGTAGTAATGTGGCAGTTTTGCTGGACTGGATATCAGTGCTCCGCTGTGAGTCTAGCACAAGAGAGCTCATCCCTCAGCAGGGTACAAACCCAGCCACCTGCTCAGCCACCCCATGCCCACAAGGCACTCATGTTTCTCTTTCCTTATGGACCATGCAGTGATTCTTACAAAGGATTTAAAAAAAAAAGGAAGCTGGGATCCTTATGCAAAACAATTTTCAAGAAATAGAACATGAGCGAAGGGTCATTAACTTAAAGCCATGCATTCAGAATACATGCATCTGGATAAAAATGAATGCTAAAGAAAGTGTGCACAAGCACATCCCAAATTTGTGAATTGGGAGACTTGAGGGGAATTCAAAATGAATTCCTCTGAATGCCAAAGATCTCTGGTGTTTTCTAATTTTTCTGTAACGAGCATGTTATGCTTTAATAATTTTTTAAAAGGTTAAACTTTTTCCAAGTTGGATTTCAACTGCAGTCCTGAGAAGGACAAATAAGCAGCTCCGACCGTCCGTCCTCTAAGTGGAGTGGCAATGCTGTTGTTGGCCTCATTCATCTCTGTGTTCAGACCGCTGGCTCCATAGTGTCCTTTTTCGTAGAGAGATCCTATAGGTTCTTAAAAATGTATTTATAAAGAGTAGACCAGGTCAGGGTGCCTCTTATGAGGTGAATTAATAAACTAAGAGGTAGAAAAAGATTAAAGTTATTGCTGACTGAACTACCTATAATTATATAGTCTGTCATTTAAATGATGCTATATGGTTTTTTTGTTTGTTTGTTTGTTTGTTTTGTTTTGTTTTGTTTTTTAAGATAGGGTTTCACCATGTTGGTCAGGCTGGTCTTGAACTCCCGACCTCAGGTGATCCACCAGCCTTGGCCTCCAAAGTGCTTGGATTACAGGCGTGAGCCACCACGCCCAGCCATGATGCTATATGGTTTAAAGGCACCTTTCAGCTTGTGATTTTATTTGAATTCTTAGCTTGGCACACATGGTGTGTGGGGTATCATCACTTTTTCCAAATGAGAAAATGGAGACTCAGGGGTTTGATGACTTATGCCTGGTCAAACAGCCAGTGCAGGGCAGATGGGGAATGGGCACCAGCTCTCAGACCAGCATTCTTTCTGCTCTGCCATGATGGTTCGGATGTGTTGCCTAGATTCTCCTAAAATACAGAGTTGTGTCATATGTCATTGAACTAAGGGTATTATGATTTAAATATCTTTCGTGTAATGCTATTTAATTATATAATCTGATGGCTTTTTTACTTGAAAAGAGTGAACTCCTGTCTCTGACACCTTATTAATTGTTTTGTAATAATGTACATTGAAAACCTTTTTCTCTTACTCTTCCAGGATATAGAAAATCAACTTGCAATTAAATCCAAAGCACTGGATGAGTTGAAACAAAGTTATCTGACTTTGGAGAGTGGGGAAATGCCATTGTTAGAAGATACAGCATCCCGAATTGATGGGTTATTTCAAAAGAGGAGCAGTGTCATCACTCAGGTACTAGAATGCATTTGAAATGTGCTATTTCTCTTCACATATTCTTTTATCTTATTTGTTGTTGTTGTTACTGTCCTTTAATCATGGAGGCTGTCTATACCAAACACTGAAAAGTTGCTGAGAAAACTAATTGAAGTAAATTAGAGAGAAGCATTTTAAGTCCCATTTTATGCACTGAATAATTAGAGGCATTCCAGCGTCATTGACAGGCTGCAAATCCACTTGGTTATCTTTGTTTTGTCTAATGTACTTACACAGACACAAATATCTCCATACCCCAAACCCAAAAGAGTGTCTGGCATTGTTTCCTGGCAAGATAGACAGAAACAGCAATGAAGCAGTGACCCCATGTACAGGGAGATGCCTCAGGGAGGAAGTGATCCTCTGTCATGTAGCCTGTGTGAGCTAGGAGCTTAGTCAGCTTCAGGAGGACTCTAAAGTTTGGAATAAACACTGCATGGTGTTGAAGAGGCAGTATAAAGGAAGACAGTGTGCAAGACATCTAGTAATCTTACAAAAGGCATGTTGATGTCTACATTTTACCCCTTCCAGGAGAGTACCAAAAGAGAGAGAGCTCAGGCATCTCTAGACATTGCAACTTTGACATTTTCCCACAACAGAGGGAGAGAATTAAAATACTAACCAATTATAGGTGTGTTCATGTTTCCTAGAGAACCTTCATCATGGGTTGTCACCTACTAAAAGCTACTTTCAACCATTTGTACTAACCAAGAGGGAATTGGGAATAAGCTACATGACTGAAATCCATAGGCAACACTCAGCCTCATTCCTCAGTCCTTAATCCCTCAGGAATCTAGCAGAAAAATAAAGCTGAGCTTATTCAGTCATTTGTTAAGCATACATTGTGTGAGGTGCTGTGCTCACTTCCAAGGTTACAAAGATAAATGAGAAAATAAATGAATCCCACCCTGAAAGATCTCATAGGCTAGTGGAAGAAACACACATGAACAGATAATTGCAATATAATAAAAATATAAAGAGAAAATGAATTGAGGTAATGCATGTAAAAAACATGCAGATAGTACTGTCATAAGGATAGATAGATATATACATGTACTTGGAATAGAATTGAGAGACCAGAAATAATTGAGGGACCTCATGTTTATAGTCAATTAATTTTCACCAAGGATTATATGACAATTTAATGAGGGAAAACATTTTGTCAAATATGGTACAGGGACAACCACATATCCACATGTAAAATAATGAAGTTAGACCTCTACATTCTTACAGTATACAAAAATTAACTCAAAATAGATCAAAGACATAAATGCAGGCCAGAGATGGTGGCTTATGCCTATAATCCCAACACTTTGGGAGACTGAGGCAGGAGATCATTTGAGGCAAGGAGTTCAAAATCAGCCTGGGCAACATAGTAAGACCCCCATTTCTATTAAAAAAAAAAAAAAAGAAGACATAAGAGCTAAAATTATAAAACTGTTAGAAGAAAACATAGGTTTTCTTCATGACTTCATGGATTAGGCAGGGATTTCCTAGGTATGACACCAAAATCATAAGCCATCAAAGAAAAAGACAGATAAATTGGACTTCATCAAAATTAAACACTTTGATGTTTTAAAGCACAGCATCAAAAAAGTAAAAAAGGCAAACCACAGACTGGGAAAAAATATTTATATATTTGATAAGGGGCTTATACCTAGAATATATGAAGAGTTATCACAACTTGATAATAAAAGGAAAAATGACCAAATGAAAAAAAAAAAAAATGGACACAAGCCAAACTCGGTGGCTCCTGCCTGTAATCCCAGCACTTTGAAAGACCAAGGTGGACAGATTGCTTGAACTGAGCATTTTAAGACCAGCCTGGCCAACATGGCAAACCCCACCTTTACCAAAAATAGGAAAAATTAGTTGGGTACGGTGGTGCACGCCTGTAATCCCAGCTACTTGAGAGGCTGAGGCAGGAGTATCACCTGAGCCTGGGAGGCAGAGGGAGCAGTGAGACAAGACCATGCCACTGCACTGCAGCCTGGGCAACACAGTGAGACCTTGTCTCAAAAAAAAAAAAAAAAAAAAAAGACAAATGATCTGAATAGACTTTTCTGTAAAGAAGACAATACAAATGGCCAAAAAGCACATTGAAAAGACGTTCAGTGTCATTAACCATCAAGGAAATGAAAAATCAAAACCACAAAGAAATACCACTTCCCACCCACTAGGATAGCTATAACAAAAAGACAGCCAGTAACAAATGTTAACATGGAGGCGGAGACACTGCAACCCTCACACACTGCTGGCAGGGTTCCGTGGAGTTGGAAAAGAGTCTGGCAGTTCCTCAAATGCTTAAACATAAAGTTATCATGCGACTCAGCAATCCCACTCCTCCATAGATAGCCCAAGAGAAATGAAAACATATGTCCACACCAAAAACTTGTACATGAATATTCATAGCACTGTTCATGATAGCCAGAAAGTGTAAACAACCCAAGTGTTCATTTACTGATGAATGTATAAAGTGTGGTCTATCCACACAAAAGGAATGAAGTAGTGCTGATATATACCACAACACTGATGGAAACATTATGGTAAGTGAAAGAAGCAAGTCACAAAAGATCATATATTGTTTGATTCTGTTTCCATGAAATATCCAGAATAGGCAAATCTGTAAAGACAGAAAGCAGATTCATGGCTGGGGGAGAACAAAGAGTGACTGCTAACAGGTTTGTGGTTTGTTTTCAGAGTCATGAAAATGTTCTAAAATTGATGATGGAGATTACACATTTTAAATAGATGAATTGTTATGGTACATGAATTATATCTCAAAATTAAAAAAAAAAAATCCTGAAGGTGTGAGGCACAGATCATCATCCATCTATGAGCTGTCAAGAGTCAATGTAGGCCTGGCCCAGTGGCTCACACCTGTAATCTCAGCACTTTGGGAGGCCGAGGTGGGAGGATCACTTGAGGCCAGGAGTTCAGTAACAGCCTGTGCAACATAGCGAGACTCCATCTCCACAAAAAGTAAATTAAGTTAGCTAGGCATGGTGCCGTGCACCTGTAATCCCAGCTATTCAAGAGGTCGAGGTGGGAGGATTCCTTGAGCCCAGGGGTAATAGTCAATATAGCCTAGTGTTTAAGAACAAGGGCTTTGCAGTTTCTGCCTAAATGAAGATCCTGGCAGCACCATTTTTGATCTGTATCTTCAGTCAGGTTACTTAACCTCTCTAAGCTTCAATTTCCTGGTCTATAAAATGGGGATGATAACACCTACTCATTTATTTCTGTGGTAATAGTGATGCCTATACAGTGCTCAATAAATGCTGCCCTACTGATGACCACAGTTTCAACATTCTGAAAATATTCCTCCCGCTTGTTTCCAGTGTAGTGTATTTTACTGAATGATTTTCTAATCCTTCCCCTCAAACCACATGTACCATGTCTTCTCCATAAAGCTGTACTATAAGTCCTTTAGGGTGCCAGAAGTTGCACCAGCTTTATACGTGGAAACTGCAGAAGCCTTGTGTGGCATGAGCTTTGGCAGTTCTTGTGTTGTCATGTGCCTGTGGGCTCTGGGATGATGCAGTACTTTGTGCTAGCTATCCTTGTCACCCAGAAGATAGAGCTGAGGTCATTTCTGGGAAAAAGGTACATCGATGAGTAATTCCTTCCCTGCTTCTCTTTTTTCTTTTTTTTTTTTTTTTTTTTTGGAGACGGAGTTTTGCTCTTGATGCCCAGGTGGAGGGCAATGGCTGATCTTGGCTCACCACAACCTCTGCTCCCAGGTTCAAATGACTCTCCTGCCTCAGCCTCCCGAGTAGCTGGGATTACAGGCGTGTGCCACCATGCCCAGCTAATTTTTGTGTTATTAGTAGAGACAGGGTTTTACCATGTTGGCCAGGCTGGTCTTGAACTCCTGACCTCAGGTGATTCACCCACTTCAGCCTCCCAAAATGCTGGGATTACAGGAGTGACCTACCACGCCCAGGCTTCTTTATTTTCTTAACTAAATGACTTGGTTTCTTTTTCTGAGCCATCCTGCCCTTATAAAGACATTTGGCCCACATGGTTACCAACGTGAGACTCACATTTTAGTGTCCCACTTTGATTTTTGTCCATCCGTGTTTGGGGCAGAGATGGAGGAGCCTTCCTGTCACTGTGGATGTGCCAGTTTTTCCTGTAGTTGTTAAGCAGAAAACAGGGTCTGAGTGCCAAGCTGTGTGATTGTACCCAAAACTCACATCACACTACCCATAAAGATGGTCTGTTGAGCCACATAGTGATCATATTCCATTTCAACCCAGATCCTTTTAAAAAATTGAGATATAGCCAGACGCGGTGGCTCAAGCCTGTAATCCCAGCACTTTGGGAGGCCGAGGCGAGTGGATCACAAGGTCAAGAGATCGAGACCATCCTGGTCAACATGGTGAAACCCCCATCTCTACTAAAAATACAAAAAATTAGCTGGGCATGGTGGCGCGTGCCTGTAATCCCAGCTACTCAGGAGGCTGAGGCAGGAGAATTGCCTGAACCCAGGAGGTGGAGGTTTCGGTGAGCCGAGATCGCGCCATTGCACTCCAGCCTGGGTAACAAGAGCGAAACTCCGTCTCAAAAAAAATAAATAAATAAATAAATAATTGAGATATAATTCATATACCATAAAATTCACCTTCTAAGGTACAGTTCAGTGGCGTTTAGTATATGCACAGAGATAAGCAGCCATCATCTATCTCATTACAGAACATTTTCATTACCTCAAAAAGAAACCTCCACACCCTTTGCCAGTCACACCCCACTTTTCTTTTTCTCCAGTCCTTGACAGTCACTTAATCTACCTTCTTATGGATTTGCCTATTCTTGACATTTTATATAAATAGAATCATATGCTTTAAAGCCTTTGGGGTCTGGCTTCCTTCTCTAAGCATAATGTTTTCAAGATCATCAGTGTTGTAGTACTTATAGTACTTCATTTCTTTTTACGGGTGAATAATATTCTGTTGTATGGATATACCATATTTAGCATACCTGTTCATCAGTTGATAAACATGGGTTCTTTCCATTTTTCGGCTCTTATGAATCATGCTGCTATGAACATTTGTGTTCAGGTTTTTATATGAACATACACTTTTAATTCTCTTGTATGTATATCTGAGAGGACAATTGTTAGGTCATATGGCAACTCTATTTAATTTTTTGAGGAGCTATCTAGCTGTTTCTCACAGTGACTGTACCATTTTACATTCCCACCAGCAATGTTTGAGGATTCCAGGTTTTCCACATCGTTACCAACACATTATTAACTGACTTTTTGATTATGGCCATCAAAGTGGATGTAAAATAGACCGGGTGTGGTGGCTCACGCCTATAATCCCAGCACTTTGGGAGGCCGAGGTGGGTGGATCACGAGGTCAAGAGATCGAGACCATCCTGGTCAACATGGTGAAACCCCGTCTCTACTAAAACTACAAAAAATTACCTGGGCATGGTGGCGCGTGCCTGTAATCCCAGCTACTCAGGAGGCTGAGGCAGGAGAATTGCCTGAACCCAGGAGGCGGAGGTTGCGGACCGCTGAAATCGTGCCAATGCACTCCAGCCTGGGTAACAAGAGCGAAACTCTGTCTCAAAAAAAAAAAAAAGTGGATGTAAAATAATATCTTACTGTGGTTTTGATTTAGGTTTCCCTCGTGACTGTGAATGTTGAGTACCTTTTCATGTGTTTATTGGTCATTTGTGTATGTTCTTTGGAGAAATGTTTAGTCACATCCTTTGCCCAATTTTTAGTTGGTTTATCTATCTTTTTATTGTTGAGTTGTAAGTTTTCTTTACATATTCTTGATTGATTGTATTTGAGATCATTTTTGATTTTGATATGTCCAAAATACTTGGACTCCTTTCATCATTATCAAAACATATCAGTGGACAAAATACACTCACCATGGCATTGCCTCCTGCTTTGCTCTTGCCTGTCATTTTGTTAGAGTGTGTTCCTCTCTCATTGGTGCTTGCTCTATAGTGATAATCAGACTTACGTGACAGGTAACATCTTACATTTATAATGTTGTACTGTTTTCAGAGCATTTTCACAGACACTATTTTATTTGTGTTTTCCTCCTCCTCCTCCTCCTCCTCCTCTTCCTTCCCTCCTTCCTTCCTTCCTTCCTTCCTTCCCTCCCTCCCTCCCTCCCTCCCTTCCTCCTTCCTTCCTTCCTTCCTTCCTTCCTTCCTTCCCTCCCTCCCTCCCTCCCTCCCTCCCTCCTTCCTTCCTTCCTTCCTTCCTTCCTTCCTTCCTTCCTTCCTTTTTTCTTCTTTTCTTCTTCTTCGAGATGGAGTCCCAATCTGTCACCTAGGCTGGAGTGCACTGGCACAATCTCGGCTCACTGCAACCTCTAACTCCCAAATTCAAGTGATTCTCTGTCCCAATCTGTCACCTAGGCTGGAGTGCAGTGGCACAATCTCGGCTCACTGCAACCTCTAACTCCCAAATTCAAGCGATTCTCTTGCCTCAGCCTCCCAAGCAGCTGGGATTACAGGTGTACTACTACGCCTGGCTAATTTTTTTGTATTTTTAGTAGAGACGGGATTTCACCATGTTGGCCGGCCAGGCTGGTCTCGAACTCCTGATCTCAGGTGATCCACCTGCCTCAGCCTCCCAAAGTGCTAGATGTGAACCACTGAGCCCAGCCTATGTTTTCCATTATTATCTCTGTTTTGTGGATGAGGAAACTGACTCTAAGGTTCAATAACTTGCCCAAGGTCAGAAAGCTAATAGAATACAACTGACCCTTGCACTCACAAATTCTAATACTTGCCCAGTGTTCTTTCCCTGGGCTGTCTCTTCCTAGTCTGAACTCCTTCAGTGTTGATCCTTCTGATCTTTGGGCTCTTTTTCATTCACTCATTATAAAACAGGCTTCTCTGATATTTTCTAATACATTGACCTACCCTTCCCACCTTCAGTTAATTACTGATGATCCTTCAGTGCCCTCAAATTGAAATGCCTAAATTAGGTACAGTGGTAGATTCTTTGGAGAGCATGTCGTCTCAGTGATGTTCTAAATCAGTACATTTCCACTTTTTGTCTAGGTCAATCAGCTCAAAATTTCCATGCAGTCAGTTTTACAGGAGTGGAAGATTTATGATCAACTCTATGATGAAGTGAATATGGTGACAATCCGATTCTGGTACTGCATGGAACACAGCAAGCCTGCGGTGTTATCATTGGAGGCCTTGAAATGCCAGGTGGAGAACCTTCAGGTAAATTAACCAGAGCTTGGCACGGTGCATTATTGGCAGGAAGTTACAAATGGGAGGAAGCACAGTAATGGGCATAATTGTGTTTGTGCCTTCCCACAGAGAAGAACAAGGAATATTAAATAGCAGTTTCAAAAGGATAACTGGAAATTCCAAAATAAGTCACATGAGCCAAATCAGGAAACATTGTAAAATGTTTGAATTTTGAATGGAAAATGTTGAATCTTCCTTTATTTTCCATGTTTATATTATTTCACAATTGAAGGTTTTTGGGGGGGCTTTTTTAGTACCCTTAAGTGCTAAGTACTTAATATTACTTAGTACTTAAAAGTTCAGCCTCAAGTAAAGAATGCCTTCTTTACTGTTTTCTTCCCATCCATAATAGTTTATCAGACTTCTATAACATTTGAGTGTGTGTTATTGCTACATAGCGGCAAGTGTTGAGAAGCTGCTGCCTTCTTTGGAAGTAGCCGGGCCATTCTGAAATGTATTTCTTGTATGTCATCTTAGTCTTTGCAAGATGAAGCTGAGAGCAGTGAAGGGAGTTGGGAGAAACTCCAGGAGGTTATTGGCAAACTCAAAGGTCTCTGCCCCTCAGTTGCTGAAATAATCGAAGAGAAATGTCAAGATACTCATAAAAGGTATGCCTTAAGATATAATTTGAATGATAGGTATCTATCTTAATGACTTGTGGTGAATGAGGGGGCATAGGCACTGTAAAGTCTTCATCCTCTGAGATGGCTGGTTTCCTATTATTCTGGTCTCTTCTGCTTTGACGGATCCAGTCTATGTAAGATTCTATGCCATGAGGGCTGTGACATTCCTCGTACAAGTGTTTGGTATAATTAGTCTAGAAATGGCTTAATTACAGCCCCAGTGTACGTACTTACAGAGGTATAGACCAAATGTCAAGTTCAATCTCAGAAACACCAAAGTCAGAGGCAGAAACAGACAAAGGGGTAGGCCAGATGGGCAGGCTACAGGGGGTGTTAAGACATCACTGGAAACATTATAAGGTGGAAGAAAGGGGATGTTAGAATATCTATTGGGGAGGGCGTTTGTGGTGTTGGAAGGAATTCTTTAATGAACTACTTGCGGTAGGATATGAAAGCTCCCTTTAAGGAGTGTGGACCTAGTTAATTGTAGGGCTTTTATTTTGATAAGTGGGATATAAAAGTTGGCCTCCAGCCAATTGATTAGAGATAGGGATTAAGAGTTATGCTACTTTAAGTGTCCTTCTTTATTTTTCCTCTGTGCAGATTCAGCCTCTCTTGTAAATCAACTTTGAGCAAGTAATGAACAAGGGATTCCAAATTATGTACCCTGCAGTGGTGCCCTTAGCTCTTGATCCAGTCTTTATTTAAAGAGGGGGAGGAGAAAGACTAAGAGGAACCTTCAAATGCTTTTGACTCCACATACAATATCAGGGCTACCCTCAAAACATGTGGCAGGGCACTCTGTTGCTAAAGGAACTCAGTTGTTGCACTGCAGTTGTTGGCACAAGAATATGTTGGAAGACATGTTTAAAACATGCATAGCAAAAATACGGAAGAAAACAGTACCAAAATGCTAATAGTAGTTACCTCTGGATAAATGAGATGTCAGGCATTTCTGAACTTTATCATGGAATAGCAAGTAGGTAGGATAGATAGATAAAAAGAAAGACATACCTGGAGGGATTTTGTTTGCTTTTTGACAGTGACTATATGTTGTATTTATAATTAGGGACAATCGTATTTTAAAAGACAGTTCTGATAACATTTTTGAAATGCATAAAAGTAAAGCAGTCTATTTTCCACCTTCTATTCTTTTTTTTTTTTTTTTTTTTTTTTTTTTTGGAGACAGAGTCTTGCTTTGTTGCCAGGCTGGAGTGCAGTGGCATGATCTCGGCTCACTGCAACCTCTGCCTCCCGGGCTCAAGCAGTTCTCCTGCCTCAGCTTCCTGAGTAGCTGGGTCTACAGGCGTGTACAACTGTGCCCAGCTAATTTTTGTATTTTTAGTAGAGACAGGGTTTCACCATATTGGCCAGGCTAGACTTGTCTCTAACTCCTGACCTTGTGATCTACCCGCCTTGGCCTCCCAAACTGCTGGAATTACAGGCATGAGCCACCACGCCCGGCCTTATTCTTGAACCAGTTAGCAGGGTTGAGGATACTGTGAAGCAAACATTCTCATGTATTTCATGTTAGAATGTAAATGTAATGCTTTCAGAAAGCACATTGACCATTTATTCCCATAATCTTACAAATATGTGCATCTTTATATTATTTGACTCTGTAATTCTCCCAGAAATCTAGTCTCAAAAATTGCAAATATCTTAACTATCCATACTAAACAGAAACTAAACTAAGGAATTTGGCAATTAAACTAAGGAAACAAACAAAAAAGAAACCTCAGGCCATTTGCAGACCATTTGTACAGCTTTTTAAAATGAGGTTTGCTTATTTTCTTTTATTAATAACATGGGTAAAATGTTTTTTAAAAGTTAAATGGGCCAGGCACGATGGCTCATGCCTGTAATCCCAGCACTTTGGGAGGCCAAGGTGGGCAGATCATTTGAGCCCAGGAGTTCAAGACCAGCCTAGGTAAAACCCCATCTCTACAAAAATACAGAAATTAGCCACACATGGTGGCACACACCTGTAGTCGTAGCTACTTGCAGGAGCTGAGGTGGGAGGATCACTTAAGCCCAGGAGGTCAAGGCTACAGTGAGCTGAGATCGTACCCCTGCACTCCAGCCTGGGCAATAGAGCAAGACCCTGTTTGGGGTGGGGGGGAGGCGGAAAGGTTAAATAGGAAAGAAAGGCAAGATATTACAGTCTACATATGGAATAGTAAGACAATTTCCTTTATTTCCACTTTTATGTAAGGAACATTTGTATAAACAAAATAAATTTTATTTGATATAACTAGAATGTTAAAGCCTATTTAAAGATAGCATATCTCTTTAAACTGGGAGCTTCTTCATGTGGAGACATTTTATTAGGCATACGGTTCAGTGTTTTCTCCATCTTTGCCAAAAAGACATTCATAGGTGGGGCACCATGGCTCATGCCTAGAATCCCAACACTTTGGAAGGCTGAGGCAGGAGGATTGCTTGAGGTCGGAGAATTGCTTAAGCCACAAAGTTTGAGGCCATCCTGGGCAAGATAACAAGATCCTGTCTCTACAGGGGGAAAAAAACGTTTGAGCTCCCTTCGTCACTCCCCTCCCTTACAAAAAAGAGAGTGAAACATGGTGGCCAGGCGTAGTGGCTCACGACTGTAATCCAAGCACTTGGAGGCCAAGGCAGGCAGACCACCTGAGGTCAGGAGTTCAAGACCAGCCTGACCAACATGGTGAAACCGTCTTTATTTAAAAAAAAAAAAGAAAGATACATGTGTAACATCGTAGGTGTTTCTTGCCGATCATAAAGTATGTAGTTTTTGTGCAATACTATAAAATCAAGTAAATAGCCTAATTTGGATTTTTTTTTTTTTTAGAATGGTTTATATAATGGTGATGCCACTAATTTTAAAAAGCATTCAACAGTGTCTTCTTACTGCTCCATCTGCTAATAACTTGCCAGTAGAGTATGTGCATTGTACTTTTGCTATAAGGGAAAGGAGAGAATGAGGGTCCTTTTCTTTGTGTTGCACTGACAGGTGGACTCAGGTGAACCAAGCCATTGCAGACCAGTTGCAGAAGGCCCAGAGTCTGCGCCAGCTCTGGAAGGCCTATAGCAGTGCTCATGCTGAAGCTGCCGCGAGGCTGAAGCAGCAGGAAGCAAAGTTTCAACAGCTCGCAAACATCAGCATGTCTGGAAACAACCTAGCAGAGATCCTGCCTCCAGCCCTGCAGGACATAAAGGTGGGTAAAAAGCCCATTTGGAAAACCGGGGCCAAGTCAGCCCAACAGACAGGGCCAGGAGGAACAGCCATGACCTGGGGACCAGACAAACCACAGGGACAGAGAAGTCAGAACAGGTGCTGTGAGCCAGCCATGCAGGCCACAGGCGAGGCTGGGAGGACCCGGTGGTGGCTCAGAGGTGACGTCCAGGCAGCAAATAGCTGGATCCAGGGGGACCTGATATCACCCTGTTCCAAGTCTGCACTTTCTCTCTAGTGTTAAATCTCTTAAGGCAGAAGATTCATATGAAGTCTGAAGTAAAAGCAAGTGTCTCAACTGATTGTGACCCTGTAAGAATAATACATGTTGTATCTCTTGTTTTAGCAATAATCACAGACTTGGTGCCATGTTGCTATGCCCTTTCTGTGGGTCTAGTAAATTTCAGACTATATTGAAGAGTTGCATAATTTCCTCTGTGGTGGTTTTTCTGTTACTGTTAATGAATGCCCAGAAAGTGAATGCTCTTTAGTTCTGAACTGGGTGAACAGATGCATTTTGTATCTTCTGATACTGTAGGTCAAATCAAAAAGTGGCAACCAATTTAATTAGGTGAGAATCTAACAGATATGGTCGGTATTTCTAATTAACTTCCACCTGAGCTGATGTTTAAAAGAAAATAAAACAGAAATTGTATATGCATAGTATTTTCCAGAATAGCCTTAAAATCAGCCTGCTTAATAAGATTCTATAGTTTTTGCACGTGAGTCCATTTATATCAGAAAGTCTAAGGCAGGAGTCTTGATTCTTGAAATGGCGTGAAAACAGATACCTAAACTATTTGACAACTGAAGTAGAAAGCACATGACTACCCAGGTTGTGTCCAGTTCATGTATACTAGAAGCCTCAACTGTGTTGGTCAGTAGTCACTTTTAGTTTTGAACTGACAATTTCAGTAAAGCACGAGTGATGTACATCATTTCAAGAAAGCTCAGCCTTTTTAGCTATTTAAAATAAATCATAACAAAAGGTCATGCCTACATTTTCAGGGCAAATATTCTTTGATGGAACAGCAGCGGGTAGGGAATTGTGGTATGAAAGGAGGAAGAGGTGTTTGTGATCCCTTTTTCTTCTGCAGGAGCTGCAGCATGATGTGCAGAAGACAAAAGAAGCCTTTCTCCAAAATTCCACTGTCCTGGATCGACTCCCACAACCTGCAGAGTCCAGCACTCACATGCTCCTCCCGGGTCCCCTGCACTCCCTCCAGAGGGCTGCTTATTTGGAAAAGATGCTGCTTGTGAAAGCAAATGAATTTGAGGTTCATCTTTTCTTTCCATTCAAGTTTTAGTCTTGGACATTTGCATTCCAGCCTCAATCCCTGGTATCCTTTGAAGCAATAGCTGCTTCACTGAAGCTGCCCACAAATGTATACGATTCTAGCTTCAATCACATGGGCAGATCTGAAGCAACCGTTTCTTCATTATGGAAGATGTTAGTTCTAGAAGTCGTGTGTGCATTATATTGCAGACACTGTTCAGATTTCAGTTATTTGCATTTCTGAGTCAAGTAACTGAGTAATAGAAATAGCTGCTTAAAGCATGATGATTTTTTTGGATCCTCATTCACTTTTTTTTTTTAATGTGAGATAGACTTTTGCTCTGGCACCCAGGCTGGAGTGCAGTGGCATAATCTTGGCTCACTGAAACCTCTGCCTCCTGGGTCCAAGCAATTCTGCCTCAGCTTCCTAAGTAGCTGGGACTACAGGCACCCACCACCACGCCTGGCTAATTTTTATATTTTTAGTAGAGATGGGATTTCACAGTGTTGGCCAGGCTGGTCTTGAACTCCTGGTGGCCTCAATTGATCTGCCCACCTTGGCCTCCCAAAGTGCTGGAATTACAGGCATGAGCCAGTACTCTGGGCCTTCATTCACTTTTTATAAAACCTTTCATTCGTGAGCTGTCAACAAGCTACACAGAAGGCCATGGAGCTCCAATATCACATCCCAATACCAGCAGGAAAACAAACAAAAAACCACATTTAACTAGTGGGACTGAGGGACAGAGTGCTCACTGACCGTCCTCTGTGTGGTCCCCTCAAGCAGGTGATCTGCCCATTTGGAAAGGCTCAAAGGCACTGAGTGAAAAATCAGGGGCCTTCTGAATATTTATCTATGATTCTTGAGTTAATAGTGAGCTTCTGGGTGTCAAAAACAACTTGATTTTTTTTTTTCTTGAGACAAGGAGACAGTGTCTTACTCTGTTGCCCAGGCTGGAGTACAGTGGTACAATTAAAACTCAGTGCAGCCTCAACCTCCCAGGTTCAGGTGATCCTCCTGCTTCTGCCTCCCAAGTAGCTGGGAGCACAGGCATGTGCCACTGTGCCCAGCTAATTTTTTTTTTTTTTTTTTTTGGTAGAGATAGGGTCTGCCTATGTTGCTCAAGCTGATCTTGAACTCCTGGGCTCAAGCGATCACCTTTCACTTCCAAAATGCTGGCATTACAGCCATAAGCCACCATGCCTGGCCAAAAACATCCTGAATTTTTAGCAGCTCCCAAGCCTGTGTTTAACTCTGTTTTATATGAACATGAAAACAATTTCTAATGAAAATTTCTCTTGTTCTAGTTTGTTCTCTCACAGTTTAAGGATTTTAGAGACCAGCTGGAATCTTTAAAAGGTCTTCTTATGCATGAAGAAGAGAATTTGGATAGACTTCACCAACAAGAAAAAGAAAATCCTGACTCATTCCTGGTATTGCCAATTTTTGTCTTTTCTAAAAGCTTAGACTCACCATAGGGTTAAAAAAAAAATAAGCTGATTACTGGGAAGTTACAGAACATTTCCATCTTAACTTTTTTTTTTTTTTGAGACGGAGTCTTGCTCTGCACTGTCGCCCAGGCTGGAGTACAGTGACACAATTGCGGGTCACTGCAACCTCCACCTCCCAGGTTCAACTGATTCTCTCGCTGCAGCCTCCCAAGTAGCCAGGACTACAGGCATTTGCCACCATGCCTGGCTAATTTTTGTGTTTTTTAGTAAAGATGGGGTTTTACCATGTTGACCAGGGTGGTCTTGACATCAGGCGATGCGCCTACCTTGGCCTCCCAAAGTGCCGGGATTACAGGCCTGAGCCACTGCGCCCAGCCTAACCACCCTTGAGCACAGTCATTTTTATGCCATTCATTACCGTCCTATTTTCCCTCAGGTCTAGGAAAAGTAGGATGACATAGGGATCTATTTTAGCAATATGTCAGAGTAATTTGTAGTAGATTTTTTTCATAATTACTGTCAGGAAACCAAAACAATCTAGAAATGAGCTGTTGTGATTCAGTTTTTCTCGTTAGTTTAATATAAAAATAAAATAGTCTATTAAAATTATGCGTTTTTCTTTCATTTACCTTAGTAAATTTAGTTTAGTAATCATGAGTCACTGAAAGAATTAAATAATTCAGGTCTTGTAACTACTAGGAACCAACATTCGTAACTTGGATCAGCAGTCAACAAACTGGCACACTGTTCACCACTAATTTTTTTCAGTAAAATGCTATTGGAACACAGCCATGCCCTTTCATTTACATATTGTCTATTAAAGGGTTCACGATACAGGGCAGAGTTGACTAGTTGCCACAGAGACCATATGGCCCACAAATGCCTAAAATATTTATTATGTGGCCTTTTACAGAAAAAGTTAGCTTATCCTGACCTAGATATTACAGCAGAGTTCGGTGGTGATAACTTCAACATTGTTAAGGATGTTTGCTTGACATATTGTCAGCCTAGAGGCTGTTGTTGGATTATCTTTTTTAAAATGAAATTTTGATGTTTGATTTCTTGTGATGTAATGTTCTATCAAAATATGGGTGTTTAAGTCCCATGCTCTGCTAGGGTTATTTTAAGAATCAAATTTTCATCACTCTATGCTTGACCTGTTTGTTGAAGGTCAGGTTGTTGGCAGACTAAATGGGACTTAAAGGTCCAGAATTGGTTCTTTTTTAAAAAGCCTATTTGGCCCGACGCAGTGGCTCACGCCTGTAATCCCAGCACTTTGGGAGCCTGAGACAGGTGGATCATCCAAGGTTAGAGTTTCAGACTAGCCTGGCCAACATGGTGAAACCCCGTCTCTACTAAAAATACAAAAATTAGCTTAGTGTGTTGGCAGGCACCTGTAATCCCACCTATTCAGGAGGCTGAAGCAAGGAGAATTGCTTGAACCTGGGAGGCAGAGGTTGCAGTGAGACAAGATCGTGCCGTTACACTCCAACCTGAGCAACAGAGTGAGACTCCATTCCAAAAAAATGAATAAAAATTTAAAAGCCGGGCTGGGCGCGGTGGCTCAAGCCTGTAATCCCAGCACTTTGGGAGGCCGAGGCGGGTGGATCACGAGGTCAAGAGATTGAGACCATCCTGGTCAACATGGTGAAACCCCGTCTCTACTAAAAGTACAAAAAATTAGCTGGGCATGGTGGCGCGTGCCTGTAGTCCCAGCTACTCAGGAGGCTGAGGCAGGAGAATTGCCTGAATCCAGGAGGCAGAGGTTGCGGTGAGCTGAGATTGGGCCATTGCACTCCAGCCTGGGTAACAAGAGCGAAACTCCGTCTCAAAAAAAAAAAAAAAAAAAAAAAAAAATTTAAAAGCCTATTTTCTGTGTTCTTCAATGACAAATTCTGAGATCACTTTTTATTTCCTGGGCTGTTTTGGGGCTGGCCGTGTGTGCAGGTTGGTATTCTAGAAGGCACAGCATTGAGAGAGCATAATTCAGGTCCCACTATGACATTAGCAAGCTGTTTGACTGCAGGCAAGTCATTTTCCCGTTCAGGCTCTGGTTTTCCTTCATCTTTGAGATAAGGAGGGTTATCTAGATATCTTAGTGGCATCCAAAAACCTGTACTTTAATTTTTTAAAAATAGAAACATGTGCTGGCACTGACAGCCCAGTCACCTGATATTGAACATTTGAATGAAGTAAGCCTCAAGCTCCCACTTAGTGACATAGCTGTGAAGACGTTACAGAACATGAACCGGCAGTGGATTCGGGCCACGGCCACGGCACTGGAGCGCTGCAGGTTAGAGCATCCCTTCTCTAGCGTTGTTTCACTCAAGGTCAAATTAACGGCTTCAGCTTGGGAATGGCATTGTTAATATGGATGTGTTTTGTTTGTTTAAACCTTTGTAGTGAGCTTCAGGGAATTGGATTGAATGAAAAGTTTCTTTATTGCTGTGAAAAGTGGACCCAACTTTTGGAGAAGATAGAGGAGGCACTCAAAGTGGATGTGGCTAACAGCCTTCCGGAGCTTCTGGAGCAGCAGAAAACCTATGAGGTAAATCCGTATTCTCTGCCACCTTTAAACTGCTCACCTGGGGCAGGAGTCAGGAAAAGATAGCTTTAAATAAAACACAGGAAGTGTGCCTATCAGTCTCTAAATACAGAATGTATATCATTAAGCAAATTCAGTTGTCAATTGGTCATTTGTAAAATTCTTGTACCTTTCATTCATTTCAGCATTTACTGCTCCATTTTATTAGGAACAGGACTCCTAGATTTTCTGTAGTACATGGAAGCTTCCAGTACAACTTTGCTCCTGCAAAATGCAAACATTATACCATTCTATCAAGAGCATAATAAAATACTTCAACTCATCTTTGCATTTTCACTCAGTAATTCTCTGTAGTATTAAAGCACCTGGTATAGTTAATAATTTCACAGGAGTTTCTCCATTGTTTATGCTGACATGTATTTGAAAATACTCGTGGTGGTTATAGGCAGATCCTGCATTTTTTGTTCTTTTTGGAGACAGAGTCTTCCTCTGTCATCTAGGCTGGAGTGCAATGATGCAGTTTCAGCTCACTGCAACTTCCACCTCCCAGGCTCAAGCAATTCTCATGCCTCAGCCTCCCAAACAGCTGGGACTACAGGCATGTGCCACTGCACCTGGCTAACTTTTGTACTTTTAGTAGAGATGGGTTTCACTTTGTTGGCCAGGCTAGTCTCAAACTTCTGACCTCAAGTGATCCACTTGCCTCAGCCTCCCAAAATGCTGGCGTTACAAACGACACATTTCAAAAGTGTGCAGATTAGTTCACTGCAACTTTTTAATGTAACTGATTGAAGTCTGTATTGCTACCTTAAGATCATCCAATTAAAATGAAATCACCCCTGCCAAAAAGCTGTGTGGCCTTGCATAAGTTATTGAGCCTCTTTATACCTTAGTTTCCTCCTCGACAAATGGATGTAATCATAGTGCTTTAGTCCTAAGGCTGAGAAATAAATGTAACAATGCATGTTTTACATAGTGCCTACCAAATTGTAAACGCCCAGCAAATGGGTATTAGATGTAATTATTATTAGACCTATTTGCTTTTAAGAATATGTTCATAGGTGATGTTGATGTGATAGTTGAACATTTTTTGCAGTAGGTTCAAATAATATGAAAATCAGTTATCCCTCCTATCCTTTGTGAGCTTAGATTTTAATAAGAAATATAGGTTCCCAGATTCATAAAGTGAATTTTGCTAGCTGATATTTTCTGTTTGGACTCATATGCAGATGTTAGAAGCTGAAGTTTCTATAAACCAGACAATTGCTGATTCCTATGTAACCCAGTCCTTACAACTCCTGGACTCAGCAGAAATAGAGAACAGGTGAGCTGTCTGGGGCTCATGAATGTTATGGGTGGATGGAAGGTAATACACTCAGGCGGCGCAGGCCTTCTGCCATGTGAACCTTGACCACGTTGGTGCCCTGTGGCCATGTTCGTTGACAGATCACCATAGGACCAGGCTTTTCAGTTTGTCTTGGGACTAGATCTTGCTGGGTGACCATAAAAACACATGTGACAGACACCTTTTCCCTGTGATAGGTGGATGGGGTTAGCAGCCCAGAAGCTTTGAAAAATGCCCACTTCGCAAGTATAGTTAACTAAGTTTGTACCCCAAATGATTCCTCTGTAGTATGTTTCCCTCTCTACCGTCACCATGATGTTTTGTTACTTAAAAAATAATTTCCGGCCGAGCGTAGTGGCTCACGCCTGTAATCCAAGCACTTTGGAGGCCAAGGCGGGTGGATCACCTGAGGTCGGGTGTTCAAGACCAGCCTGACCAACATGGTGAAACCCCATCTTTAAAAAA